ACAGATACTGAAACTTTGAGTAATCTCAATTACTTTGAAATAAATTGAATATGATAATTCAGTTGATAAAAACTATTAATATTAAATTTATATATTTGATTATAACATAAAAATATATAATTAATATTATAATATTACTTTATTATACTCTAAAAAAATTTAAAGTGTTTCCCTTTTTTTTTTTTCAATAAGAATTTAATGAAAAAGTGAATAAGAATAGAAAGTGGAAAGTAGCTTCAAGTGAGCAAGTTTAATCAATAGAGAGTTATCGTTTTACGTTTAAATTTTACAAGTGGTTCTGTGGAATATAAACTAAAAAAATATCCAATCTTTTTACTTAATAACTTTTAATGGATTATCAAGTATTTGAAGTATTCTTATCTTTTGCATTTCATTTTTTAGCCTACATTTATATTTATCTGAGTATTTATATATTAATATAAGTTAATCTGGAATAAATATAAGACAGTTATATGATGATGAATAATTTGGAGACTTCATTAACATCTATATAATGTAATACTTTTTAATTAAACTAAAAAACTGCTCTGATAGAAGAGATTTTTAATAGTTACAAAATGATTTTTTAATTATTGAAGAATTTTTTTCATATTTAAGAAGAAATCCCTTCAACTATTACAAATCTTTTCTATTTCTTTTTATCAGTGTAGATGTTGAAATGTTATGTGATAATTATTTAATCAAAATATATTGAATAATGTAAAATAAATATTGTACTATTTTAGATAAAAAAAACAACTCAATTTTTTAAATCTATTTTTATTAATAATACTTTGAAAAAAATATTACTGGATCAATTATTAATTTTTCTTTCATCAACTATCAACTTTACTTTCAAGTAATTCCACAATGACAGCCTTCACCTTGAGTCTTATTACTTTAGTCTAAAATTTATCGTGATCGTAGCGAGAAATGTATTTGAGTGTGAAGAAAAAGAAGAGGAGAAGCAAAAAAACTTGATATATATGATACATTTTCTATGACAATGGGATAAAACCCATTGAGGTGGATTTTTAGTCTACAGTGATAAAATACAAGCTAATGACTACCAAGTTATTTTTCATTAATAACAAATACTCATAATTCAAATGAATTTTTATCATATCATCAAAAATAGGATATATACCTGTATGTAGTAGACAGATCATGAAATGAAACAATTCATGAACTGTTTAATAAGTATTTTGGATTAAGATAATTGAAAATGACACGACAATTTAGATTGTATTAAAATAGGTAGAAAAAATTTTATTTATTGGTACATAGCAAGCTACCGTGACATCTGACAAAAACATTTGCTTTTTTACAAGCACATTTGTTGATTATGCATTACACGTCAGAAGTTCTGCATCTAAGATTTGCACCACATTTTTTGTAGATCTTCAATAATACCATTTATACCTAGTTGATTTTTATCACTCGATAGTGCTTTTGGAGAATCTACGAAAAGGTATTCATTAGCAAAAGGGCATTCAGACGTGCATCGTTCACCATGACCAGTCTTTTTCACATGGTGATTAAAGACTTCGTCAAACACCTCTTCATAGGGCACTATTATGGGTGTAATATCTGGATCTGAATTTTTTTGAATCAAATAGGAGTGACCATGAACAGTTCTAACGTCATATTTATTGAGCAAATTACATTCTCGTTTTGTTTTCTTTCCTCTGAAAGTACATTAAAATTAAAGTCAATATTAAAGAAAATATTAATTTTTAATGACATTATTGTAAATAATTCTACTTACAATTTATTTTTTGCGATCATTACTTCAGCGATCGTTGCTTCAACCTCCTTTTTACTTAAAGGTTTTTCAGATGGTTTATCAGCAAAATAATTGTCTAATTTTAAATAAAAATCCTCTTTATACTTGAAGCTAAAATTTTTGCTCTCACTCTCACTCATTATGAATAATTGATCTGATGTCTATTAATTAAAGTAGTTAAAAAACGTAATACAATAATTTACGGAATTAGCTGATGTCTGTTTGTCTACAACGGATATATTATGGTATTCCCACATGAATCTGTGCAAATCAGTATAGGTCATAGCAAATGCGCATGAACCTGTAAGTTCTTAAGCGCGAAATGTAACAATATTTAAAAGATAGAAGTATCTTGATTGCGCGTGCTTCGCAAGCACATAGCTATTACTTATGTGAACATTTTAAAATTATATTTCAAACAATTATCTATTATTTGATTTAATATAGCATCAAGATGATTTATTTAAACCCAGATTATACATTCTGAATATCCATCAAATGGATTCTTTTTTATAAATTATTTTCGTATATATAAAATGTATATCACTTAAATAAATCTATTTCTTTTCGAATTTTTTTCCAAGCTCCGAGATATACTGATATTATCTAGACGCACAGTATGATCCACAGGATGTGATAGGGTTTCACAAAATGATCACTACCAAGCATTGATAAAAGCGTGCAGATAGATCAGAAGCTTTATACACTCATCAAATAAAAAGAAAAAAGCCTTGGAGGATTTTCCTTACATAAGACCGTTCATCTTTTTTTAAAAAATGTTGATAGACAGTTAAAGAGTAAGAGAAAATGAAAAATAAAATAACCAATTTATTTATTATATCAAAATAATAATGGTGAAAATTTTCATTGTCTATTTTAATTTAAATAGGAAACCCATTGAAAAGCCACTGTATAATTATTGTGAGATCATAAAGATCATTGATTGATTATCGAACATGAAGCATCGTTAATTGAAATAATGCGACTCTAATCAAATGCATTAACAAACGGTAGCTGATTGTTACGCCGACGCAGTTACAAAACCACAAGAAAATCAATGAATCCTATCATAACTTTCTTGAATTTTATATATTTATAATTAATTGAATAAATTAGTATTGAATATTTTTATCTTATAATTATTTATTTGGACTAAAAAATTCCATAACGAGTTTACTAATTGGTTATTTATTTATTTTAAGTCTAGAAATATCAATCAAACTTCTCATTAGAGACTTTATTTTTTATAACAATATTAGAGTGATTTATTTAAAACACGTTTCGATAAAACTCACACTCTAATCTTCATCATCACTATTATCGATATAGAAACGATCTTCAGAAAGTCTCTCTATTCCTTGCTGAGTCTTTACCTAGGTCAGATGGGCTTTTAAGCTCTCATCGTAGAAATAAGAGAAGAAACCTTCTAGAGTATATAAAAACTGTCTGACCTATCAGAAACTTTTTCCCTAAAAAATGATAATAGAGAAATAAAAACAAACCGTTACTCTATTTATAAAAATACTTAACATTCAATCAATTTAAAATATTAGGTTGGCTAAAAAGTTTTTCTTCAAATCCGTTGGTCACAACATAAATTTTGTCGTATAAAAAAAAGTATGTAATCTATGGGCCAACTATAAGGGTATATGCAATTGTTTATTAAAAGGCAGATGAAATAACTTTGGTTCTTTTTATTAATTCTCGCATGCTGAATGAAAATATATAAATTATTTTTTCTTAAGGTGGTGCATTTAAAAGTTATAAATAAATTTATTGTTTAAATTCATTTTTCAGCTAAACTATGGAGAATAGAGAAAAAATGTTTATATAAAAAATATTCATTGTTCCAAGAAGAATAACTTTTATATAAACTATTTTTACTCTAACTTCATTATTTTAGAAGTTAAGAGTAAAACAAGTAATTAACAAAAAGAACCAAAGTTATTTCATCTACTTTAAAAAAAAAAATTTGCATACACCTCTTATAGCTGGCCCATGGATCAATGAGAGTACAGTTTTATAGTGACGTATTAAAAAAATCATCGATTAAATTGTGTCAATAGCTAACAGTTCATATTTTGTACGTGGACCATACAAAGAGGGTCCTCTGTTATAAAGTAAACAAATCGATGCTGCATTATGTTCAAATACAATACGACAATAGTTATGCTATGACCTACGTAATATCTTTATTAAGTAATTTTAATTAGAAATATTATTTTATTCTAGTTTTTAAAAGAGGACTGAATTTTTTAGCCAACTGAATATCTCAAAAAAATGATTAATATGAATTAATTCTATTTTATGCATGTCTACATGAAAGATAAAATATTAGATGATTTTTTGCTAATTAATTTTGAATTACCTTGATAGGAATTCACTTGGTAAAATAGCAAAAATTGAAAAAAAATTTCATTATCATTGAAAAGAAAGGTAAAAGATACTAATTGCGAATAGAATGAACCAAATGTCAGTATGTCTTTCATGATCATTGTCAATTAATAATTAAACTTTCATTTGAGAATGATAGGACTTTTATAGTCTAGTCAATATGCTTTGAAAAAGAGGAAAAAGTTTGAAATTTTTTAAATATTAATCGATTTAATTTAATAATTATATTTTTAGTGACGACAGATTACAGTAAGCATTTATGATCATATGTATTTTTTTGTTTATAAAAAAAATTACTTTTATTTTATTAAATATCTTGAAAACAACGTATCGGGGATTAAAACATGCTAAATGTAATTTTTAGAGCTTTTTATGAGGAATAAAATGAAACTAGTGCCAACTTTCTACGACAAATAGTTCTCGAGATATTTAATTGTTTATCTCAAAAGTTCCACTGTTTTTTAAACAATTGACTGTAGTTCATCAACAAATAAATTTTTTAAAATTTTTTTTCCTTTTAATCGAAAGCTACATCGATGCCAAATATTGACTGGACTATTATTAATGTATCAGGGGTATAGAATCAAAAATGATAAAGTCCACAAAATTATAAAATAAAGCTTTACATCAGAATACTTGAAACTGGAATTATCATAAAAATGATTAAATAATTTTTTTTTTTATTTTTAGACTTTATTATCTTTGATTCTATACCCATGATATTTTTTTAGCATTATTCTAAAGTATTTCCACTTATTTATCGTATCTTCTAATCATGTTTTAAGACAAAAAGGTACATGAATGTATTTTTTGTTTACAGATACATGGCGATAATGAATCCCTTGCGTCCAAGAATGGGTCGACGTTCGACTCTGTGTGTAGCTGTATTAATTTGGGTCGTGGGTGCAATTCTATCGTTTCCAATGCTCATTTATTACAAAACCTATACACATACTTTTTCAAATGGTGAAGTTCGGATAATTTGCTATGGAGATTGGCCTAATAGAGATAATAATGGATTTAGCTACGATGAGTACTTGTAAGTATTTGTGTAATTATTTTTCTTTTTTTTTTCTTTGATGCTTTAAATGTATAACTAATGATTCAAGATCGAAACTAAGAAAAGATGTAACTAGTGCTTAATGATGTTGTCTCATTTCCTACCTTCATGGCCACTCTTAAAGATCATTACGATGAATAGAGTAATAAAGATAGTCCTTGAATATCTCCAACATCTACAAGAATGTGATCTCAATGAACCAAAATTAAGTCTACTTAAAACTTCTCTACTTTATTTTTGATCCTTTATCGTCGACCAAAGACGATATTTTCATTTCTTCACAAGCTTCTGTTAATAGTAATTGATTCATAATTATTATTATAATAAAAAATATAAAAAGTGAATTAAAATTTAATAATTGATGAATATTCATATTAAAGTGCTTTTTATGTAATAAAGTTTTTAATACTCATAAGGAAAATCCGGACGTCTTACATGACTTTACCTTTTCTCTTATTTTATATGTTTAACTTAAGATCTTACCTACCTAAAATTTGCATGAGCTTGGAAGCAAGAACTGTAACATCCACCATCCCATTAGTGGTAGAATCTGTGCTTCACTCTTGAATGGATTTCAGGGTTGCTGTTCATTTCATCCCTCTTTAATGTTTTACATTAAAGAGAAAAACCACACCAAAATATAATTGTTTACTAACTGTTGTTTTCAAACTTTAAACAACTAAATTAACTTCTTCATTATCATTTTATGTATAATTTTAAAAAATACATTATCAATAGAAATATCATTTTAATATTTTCTTCAAATAAACTAAACAGATACAATACATAATTTAATTTTTTTTTTTTTTTGTTATACTTTTCTTTACGAGTTACTTTTTCATTATATTGGATTATTAGTCTTTCGGAAAGTCAACCTTATTCGCTCAAAGTTTTTTATATAAACTATAAAAACTGCATTAGTTATGGCCAAAAGTTTTTTTTTTTTTCAATTTATAACTTGCTTTCGATTAAATAAGTTTAGGGTAGTATATATAATTTTACATACTACTCAAATTTGAGTAAATGTCATAGAATATCATTTTATTTAATGATTAACAACATAAAATATTTATGAAAAAATTACATGGGATATATTTATTTCACGTGGGTAAAATTATCCTTACATGTGGTTTAAAATTTACCCTACAGTAGAGTAATTGTGAGACAAAATGACTGTGATAGATTTTTTTGTTCAGAGAAGAATAATTTTTACCCTAAATGAATGTGAAAAATTCCCCCATTAAAGAGTAATATTTACCTTGTGGAATTGTAAAATTTATTTATGTTTACCCTACACAATTGTTAATCACTACATAACGGTGGTAAATATTTTTACATGAGGGCTACATAGCTACTTTGGTGTAGGTGAAATTTTTAATTAAATTTTAGGATAATTTTTACCCATGTACTTGTATTCATCTACAGAAAGTAACTTTTGCAAGTCATTATACCAAAAGAAGGTAAATAATTTTATCTTTTTCTTGTGAACTAATGTCAATACATATTTCAAAGTGTCTTTATAAAAAAATTAAATTTATAAATGTTGCTGTGTATTTTTTTTTTCATCACAAAATAACAGAATTTGTAATTTTTCATGAGATTAAAAGAGCGAATTGGAAAAAGATTAATTAAATGTTAATTAAATTTTTTTCTCTCTATAAGGAATAAATAAAAATGTGTAATTAGTTAAAAATGCCAGTCATTTTTTTTACCAAACTTTTTCGTTAAATAAAAAAAAATAAAAAAATTGAAAAGAAACTTCTTCAATAATCAATAGCTGCAAAAAATATCAGACATGTTAAAAATGTAGAATAATTAATAAAAAAAAAAGCCAGCATTTCAATTTTTATTTAATTAATTTTTTTTTTAAATTATAAACAACATTATTTCGTGTTATATTGAATAAAATAAAATTACTTTTTTGTCTCTGTATTTGTAAAAAATTTTAATCAAAAAATGTGAACTTTACTTTTTTTTATCTTTCTCTAAATAATTTATTTAATTTTTTATAGGTATAACGTAATATTTATGATTTTGACGTATTTTTTACCAATTGGATCGATGACATTTACATATGCTCGTGTTGGTTTCGAGCTTTGGGGATATCAAAGCATTGGAGAAGCGACACAAAGACAACTTGATAACATAAAAAGTAAAAGAAGGGTAAGTTTAATTTTAAAAATGAAAATTAAATAAATTCAAATAATTTTTTTTTTCCTTTCACAAAACAAAACTTCTTTAAGACATAAATCATCTATGCTACCATTATTCTAGATTCATGAATATACCATCATACTCTATATACACGAGTTCTAGAAATGGAACACTCTAGGAGTATTGTGAACAATATTGTATAAGACTTCCTGCTTAGGACTACGACTAATAAGAACGTAAATTCTTGTCAGACTTAAATATAAATTATCTGTAAAATATTGTTATGCAGACTAGTGTATTTATTTACGTCATACTAAAATTACCCAAGTACTAGGATATTCGTTTCATCGATCAGTTTCTATAATATATTTACATATTCACTTAGTAACAAGTTTAATCGATAGTTTAGAATTTTTTAAATAATTGAATGGTGATTTAAACAATTTTATTGAGAATTTTTTTTATCAAAGTGCTCTCAAAATGCATCGATTAACTCTTTAGTAGCTAAATCATTAAACTGTGTCTTGTTTAATTGAATAAATATTTACGTTAAAGCAAATATTTCAAAAAAAAATACTTGAATTAATTTTTAATATTAAAATCAGAGAGAAAAGTCTTTTAGATAAATACATGATTATTTATAATCCTCTAAGTACTATTACAAATTTTATTTTCTCTTTCAAGCTATTTAAGGTATTTTATGTAAATATACTTTAAAAGTCAAAGTCAAAGTGCACATATTAAGTTTCTCACATATTCATACTTGCAATTCCAACTATGGCTTATAGTCATCATGAATACTTTCAACGAATAATAATCTTTTTCTCGTACATTTGAGTATATATTAATTTTTATTAATTCAGTTCGATGCTTATCATTTTTAATGATGAATAAAATAGAAGTAAAAATTATGTTTATTGAAAATATTTGAATTTTATTGAAAATATTTTCTCGATATGAAAATAAAATAAACCATTGGTGGATTAATAATTTCAATATTCATATTTATTCAAGATAACAAACATAGGAATGTCACAAAATAGTTTTGTGGTATACGATAAATCATAAAAGATTGCTATAAAACAATTCTAGGTATGAATATGTTTGAGAGAATTAAATTATTGAGGTCACAATTTATGGAAATATGAATAAAGTTCTTTAGATGAACTGTAATTGAAAAAATGTAAGAAAGCAAAGCCGAAAATTAATTTTTTTTTTTTAAATATTACCAAAGACAGCTTTATAATAGTTAGAATAGTTAGTTTTTTTAAACAAAATATTTAAAAATAAATAGAAAAATTGTAATTCATTAGACACGCTTAGGTGCTCATACGAAATGTAACTGACTCTGATGAGTCACACGAAATTAATCTGGCTAAATTCTTAGCCGCGTACACACACTCATTTGACATCACAAATATAAATACAAGTGTAAACAAGCGTGCATTTAAACTCAAGTGTACAAACGTGAATTTGACTACATCTAACGAATACTGATGGATGTTAAATTTCTCCAAAATCCTAGAATTAATATTTAAAGTATCTCAATCGCTTTGAATTGTATAAAAAAAAATCTAGGGCCCTATAAAAATAAAATAATTATTAATGACAATAAAATATGAATATCCATAAAAAATTAAATAAATGGAATCTTAGGAGTTAATTAGGATTTTAAGTCAAACAAGGTAATTTTTAATAAAATTAGAATCTTTTTATAAGAACAATTCAGTAAAAAATGCAATAATTTTTAGAATAATTTATGATTTAATTTTCTCAAATAATAATTACCATGATAATTAATTGAAGGTGTTAATGAATTTAAGGTATTTCGATTAATTGAAACCGCATCGAAAATAAGACCCCATGTTCTTTGAAATAAAATTAATATTTTTTTATTAAATATACACACTAGATTTCTGCATATTGATTAATTTATTTTCTATTACTTTAAATTATTATTAATTATTTATTTTTTTTAACAACAGTACGATAGAACTTAATTTTCGTTTAACTTGAATTCTAAACAATTAATCGTTTTTTTTTTTAAAACAAACATGTTATTTTTTAATAATCTTTTCTTTTAATACAGTTAAAAAAAAACCATAAGAAAAAAGAAATTTTAATCGAAATACCTGAAGAAATATTTTTAAACAATTAATATTATTATTTAAATAAAATACATTAATTGGTCATATTTCTTTATATTGGTATGTTATGTGTCGCATCAAGAATTTCAAAAACCACAAAGAAGCCATAAAATGGTTTTTCGGTAGAGTAGTCAGTAGAAATTTATGACCAAAGATACATCTTTACTAAACTAGGATTTTCGAGGAATTTTCAGCTTCGACTTATGGTCGAAATGTGCATATGTTGTGGATGAATAAAATAAAATGGATAGTTGTCGTCTATTCATTTATATGTCAAGTACTAATATTTTTAAAATTGTCCTCTGAATTGTCAATATTGATTGGGTTTCAAATAAAACTCCAAATTACCATTACTTGGACAGGTATTGTAACTTGATACAACAAAAGTCGATAACACTCTAGGAGATGCGATCCCCAAGCATCGAGAGTAACATCAAACTAGTGCAGTCTGACCACAATTGTGGTTCAACTACTGAACTATATAAAATTCTTGATAGACACATCAAACAAATTTTCAAACCGTGTAAACCGCAAATAGAAGTAACTATATTTTTTATCTCGAGATCAAGAGCATAGATTGTATAACATTAAATAGTGTATTTGCATTGAAATTGCGAATATTGGTATTTCGAGCATCAGAATGTTCTTACTATATTTAATTGCTCTAACTAAAATCAAAGCACCGGAATTCATATTTTATCACATTTTTACCAAATTAAAGAACCAATTAAAATATAATAGACTTCTGCTAGAAACTTTTTGTATTTTTTCTATAGTTATTAAAAAAAAATAGAAAAAAAAAGAAATAAGAAACTGCACGAGACGTCGACTAACGATCTTCTAGAGCTTAGCAATTTTGTCACGACGTTGTGTTAATTTATAAAATGATTTCATGCGAAAAATAACAATATATCATTAAAGAGAACTACACTTCGCTTGTCATAACTACTGAAAATTTTCTCTATTTTTCAAATAAAAACTCAGAATCTCAAGAAAAAAATAAACACACTGCTAATGAGGTGCATTTGATAAATTTATTTAATTTTATCAAACTATAACAAGTAAAAAAAATAAGTCGGAGTGCACTTTATGCCCACACGATGAACTTTTCATTCCCATTGAACGTTTGTAATCATATTTTTTTTATTACAATTTTATAAAAATCTTATCTAGGAGTAGGGAAGGCAAAATGAAACACTCCAGAAAATGTATCAATTTATTTGAATAAGTTCAAAAACATTTATTAATTTTTTTTTTATTATTCTTTCAGGTTGTAAAAATGATGATCGTTGTAGTGGTGATATTTGCAGTCTGTTGGTTACCATTTCACGTTTACTTCATAGTGACTCCTTACCTACCAGAAGTGACGAATGAACCATATATTCAAGAGCTTTTCCTGGCAATATATTGGTTAGCGATGTCCAATAGCATGTATAATCCGATTATCTACTGTTGGATGAACTCAAGGTACAAAATTAATATAAAATAATTGAATAAAATAATAATAAAAATAAATATAATATAATAATAATAATAATAATAAATAATTTTAAAATTCATTAGATTTCGACGAGGCTTTGCTCAAGTATTTTTCTGGTGCCCGTGGATAAAGGTGTCACCAGAGCCGGCACTTTCGAGATCTGAAGCAGTCACGTCAAGGTATAGCTGTACAGGTAGTCCCGATGCTCATACGCGGATTTCAAGAAACGGTACGTCTACGTGTTCGTCTTCGGACCAGAGCATTAGCACCGTTGTGCCGACCACGCTGCAGAGGGGCTCGATAATTGAGCAACACGAGATATTCCTCGCGCGTGGTTGCGCTACCAAGGACCACTATAGACTTAACATTGACCTTTGCGAATTTCCTGCATCTGCTCTTACATCCTCTGAAGCCTTTAGGGATATCACTACCACTATCACTTGAGAATTTACCAATGCCTGATTTTAAACCCAAATGAATGTAATTCTAATTAATTAATCAATCAATTCAATTTATTTATTAAGTTCGTATTATCTCGTGATACTGATTTTTCAATCATTTATTATACTATTATCAATTGGTCTATTAAATTAACGTGCTGATCAATCAAATATCTAGTAATCACCATATCTAAACACACCAACAATTGAACATATCTATTCTACACAAGCTTCTTATACCAAAAGATTTTTTCCGTTGTTTCTCTTTTATCAGGCACCGTGCGAATACCATTGCAATCCACAGGAGGAATGGACTTCGGAAACAGCCACCGCCATCCAACACATCGACGCGGCCATGCTCGACGATACAGGACGTCAGAAACAAGGGGACATATGTCTTGACAGAATGAAGAGTTATCACAACAACGAGTTCACACTTGGATATAAATTATTTCATATTCTCATCTTCCTTTAACTAATAGACAATTACTGACCAAAATAAAATTATTCTGCTCAATATTATGAGCCTTCATTGCAAGTCAATTTTATGCACTTCATTTATAATTAATCAATTTCATACATTTTGAAGTATTATCATTATTATCAATTCAAGTAAATAGTTCAATACATTTTAATACAAATTTTCCATTTTTTATTCAACAAGTATTGAGAATTATGAATTTTTCTTTTTCTATCAACTTCTTTTATAAAAGGACCAATGATCTGTGGTACCTGATTAGGTTCCATAGATTTAAATCAAAACACTTTTTTTTTTATCGTACATCTAGTAGGTATAAAAATTAAATAAATAAATAAATTAATGAAAAGTTAAATTTAAAAAATTTATTTATATATATATACATATATATATATATATATATAAAATATATAATTGTAAAAACAATAAATGTTAGATTTCCACATAAAAGGCTTAAATCATAAGAAACCACGCGCATGTTTGCTGAAAATAAAGGTGCTTATTTGTGAATGCACAATCATTGTGTTCTTAAATACAAAAGTTATAATAATAAACGTCAGGTTGTACTAATGAATTATTTCATTTTCAAACGAGAGTTAATGATTTAAAATAATAGATTGGGGAATATTATTTTAATAAAGTAATAATCAAATTTGTGCCAAAATTAATCACGAAATTCATTTCAATCATGTTTTTGTACGTTGTAACAACATCATTCTATTTTTATAGTATAATGTGATTCAATAATTACTAAAAATAAATATCAAACTGCAATTGATATTGACAGAATTAAAAAACCCCCATACTTGATAGAGTTATTTATCGATGGCAAACATAACAAAATCACTTTTTTTATGTATAATTGAACGACAATGTTGTTTAATATTCATAGAAAACGCAAAACTAATAGATGTATAAAAAAAAAACTCTCTGGGAAAACCAAACGCTTTCTAAGATAAATCATGATTATTAGATTTAATTATAACATTCAATATTAAACGTTTGTAATTATATCTAAAACTAATACATAATTCTGTAAAATAATGTAAATGTATTGAAAAAAAAATTCGAAATTTCACTAATAGAAACCTGACGGTGCTACGAATATAGATTATTCATGGATAAATAAAAAAAAAGGCAAAACTGAACGTAATTAATATGAACAAATAAATAATTTAATAAAATAAGCTTCTTCATATTGTTTATTTTCATTCATTTAATCTAACATTATATATAATTCCATTTGTTTTTTGTTTCATTAACATCTTTATTTGTTCATAATAATTTGACAAAGTTTTGTGGATTTTTATACATAGAAATTGTTATTCGATGCACCTTATGATGTAAATTGTTGCCAGGGACTATAATTTTGTAAAAATGATAAATTATTTAAAAAAGAAATTGTTAGTATTAATGTCAATTTAATAAATTGAATGTATATTAATTTGTGGTTGTATAAAAGAATATTATTAATAAACTTAAGAAAAGGTAGACCTTTTAAATTCATGTGTCCTTGTATTTTTAACAAGTCAAATAACCATTTTTCTCGTTAAAATTAATAAAACTGAAATCAACATTTAGGCTAAAAAATTCATTTGATAGATTATAAATTAATATTGGTTTGATTTTGAGGAAATAAATGTAGTGTATATTGAAATGATATTAAACAGGAATCATAATCAATCAAAATGACACACATATACAAAAATAATTAGTTTTGTTCACTAACAAATATAAAGAAAAGATATTCTTTTATCAAATTATAGCTTAATGTAATCTTTCAACAATCGAAATTCATCAATATATAAATTGTAATACTTTAATAAAAATATTAAATAAAATGTATAAAACAACAACAAATAAATAAATCAATATTTATAGTAATTATGAGAAAATATGAAAAAAAGCCATTAAAAGACATTCATTTTGCAATTCATAAGACCGTCATCTGATGTCACTACACGACTACAATCCCAAAAAAAATATATTTTATAAAAACATCATTTATGCTCATTTTAGTTTTTTTAAAGAAATTTTTAATTGTCTTTTATAATTAAAACTTAAGCTGAGGTTTTCTATAATCTCATTAATTATGTGTTACTTTGTAATTAATAATTACATTCTAACTTGTACCTCAAAGGTTTTTAATCCTCTCGCATCAAAGTTAAACTATTAAAAGCTTTTTTGTAATTGACAGATTATCTAAAATTGTACTCATTCAAAATCTTACTCACACATCCATAGCTTTAACATTAAAAATAAGTATTTATAAAAAAAATACTGTTTTTAAAATCAAATTTTATTATAAATACTATTGAATTTAAAGAAAATAATGCAAATCATCGATTAAAAGAATTAATTTCACTTGAATTATTTTTATCATTAATTGATAAAAAGATAAAGTAATGATTGGTTGTGAGTTAAATTTGATATAAATGAATAATCAATTTTTTCAACCCAGCTAGCACAATGAGTATAAAGATTAAGAGATCATACGATAAATATATCAAGATATATAATAAACTTACTCAATAAATAATTGGTAATATTTTAATATAATAATTCCCACCTCATAGTGAAGATAAAAGAGTAAATATCTTAAAAACACAAAAATCAACTCAAAATTTTTAAATAAAATGGAACATTTAATTTTTGTTCTAAATAAAATAATTGAAATTGGAGTATATAAAATAGGTTGAAGATATTTTTATCTAATAAATTATAATATTGGACATATATAAGTAAAAATTACATTAAATAGTATAATTTTTAAAGGCATCTTGATGATTGTTTTATGACTAGACAATGAAGTTATTGACTTATTAACAAGAAAAATGATTTACATTTATCCTTTGTGTTCAGTTAAAATAAATAATAGTATTATTACCAAATATGTAAATGGAAAATCATTTGATGATTTATAATCACAATAATATTCTCATATTTCATTGTAATTGTATTTTTAAATGATAAACTAATAAAAAAATATTTAATTTTTTATTCAAATCAACTCTCAGTGATAAATTTATCAACTATAATTCATGGTTTCATTATGAATAATAATAATGAAAAACTTATATGAAAAAATATTTCCTTAATTTACTTCTTTTTATTGGATAAAAATCCATTGCTATTTTTCCTTCTTTTCTATTGACATGATCCCACACTGTACATGAAAATGTCTTTGAATCCATTTTATCTACATAAAGGATTCCCTATAACAAAAATATTCTCAATTTATCGATCTATTAAGTTCAACTTTTACGTAATTTTTTAAATTTTTATTACCCGTAAATGATCTATTTCGTGTTGTACAAGTTTAGCAGACCAATTTTGCCCTTCCCACGTAAATGGATTGCCGAATACGTCTAATGCATCAACTTTAATCCGTTTAGCACGAGGTACATGTGCTGAAAACCCTAAAATACTTGCACAACATTCTGGATATTCTGTGGTTTTAAAATCCAGAATTTTCATTTTTGGATTTATGAATACTTGGAGAGGAACTATTTCGATAGGTTGACCAGCATTTTTTACATTCAATTTATCTTCACAATGTTCTTTGGTCGTTTCTATTACAATAACTTGAATAGGCATACCGATTTGAGGAGCAGCTAGTCCGAATGCCTCATATTTTCTCATTACTGAAATTAAGTGATTAACAAACTGAAAAAAATGATAAATTTAATTGATAATTTTTCTATTAATACTTTGCAACAGTTTTTGTTACAATTTATAAATAAAATAGTTATCAACCTTCTGAAATCCATCACACTTTATTTCATCTGCATGAACAGGTCGACAAGGTAAACGTAGAACAGGATCACCTGCTTGGCAAATGTGATTATATGGAGGTTTCTTTTCTACTGGTTCAAAATGTTTTAGAACCATTTGTTCTATTTTACTAGGACTATAATTTCTAACATTACTCCGAGTAGCAAAATATTTGCTATTTAATATACATCGCAATCGAGACATAATATTTATTTCTTATAAACGTTATTTTTTTTGTCAAATATATTTTTATAAAAAAATATGCATAAATTAGAATTATTTCAACGATATTTTCAATAATAAAAATATTTACAAAAACACCCAGTGAATGAATACTAGGTTATTTTTCTTTTAAACCTTGCACCACTACAAGTCTATAAATGGACATTTGAGTCAACAAAGTTGAAAGTATTACATATAATAAATAAAATATTGATTTTATTATAAATAACAATAAATAACAATTATCGGTTAGAATTCAATATATTTATTGTTTAGTTTTTTAATAAACAATCACTATTTTTGCAATTTTTCATTGTATAGTTTAGTCAAAAATTAAATATGTAAAGATTGGCAACACTGTTGAGTAGAAAGTATATACAATTTCAAGAGTATACATGTGTTGTGATGGCGCTGCTGTTGTTGTGTCGATAACTAACCTATAATTGATTGCGTGGCGTCTAACAGCAGCCGCGCCTGGTATATTTTTTAAATTTAACTATTAAATATATTATTTATAGTTTAAAAATTATTAAATTTTAACATAACAAAAGAAATCACAATGTGTACAAATATTCTGTGCAAATGTTAAATTTTAAATAGTTTATATTTGTACAACAATGTGTATGATTCGATTTCTATGTGTATAACTTTATCTGTTGAGATATACAGCTTACTCGTGTGTCAGAGATTAGTTTTGTTCAGTTGGCAGTAGTATATATTACATATATCACACGAAGAAGGGGTGAAATTGCATAGTTATAATAATAAAAAAAAAACCATCAAGTTTTAACAGAAGACATTGATTATCATTGGTATAATTGTGTAATGGACGAATATGATTGGTGAAATGAAATTGAACCTTAGTTGATATACTTACAATTTATTCAAGAGATTGTATGTAGATTGTATTCGTCAACGATCAGTTTTAAAAAAAAAAAGAACGCATAATCAATTATTGTGGAAGATAACATATTTAGATTATCGGTATTTCTACCTTTTAAATAATCAATTGGTGAGTTTTGTCAACTAAAAAATGAATACAACTTATCTATACATATTTTAAGTGTTTATCTTTTTCTTTCAATCACTCTTTTTCACTCATCTTCATCTTTTCATACTCTCTTTCTCGCTCACACATACATACACATACTATTTCTAGCTGTGATTCGTTCGCTTTGCGCGTGAACAGGCGAAAACAGGAAAAACAGGTACGCGACAACTGCCACGGGGTTTGCAAGCAAATTTCTTAGTTATTTTCGAGTGATTGGAGCACAGTGAAAAATAGTTTAAAGTGCCATTGTTGAAAAATATTTTTACAGTTTAGCTTTAGTAAATGTGGAATGGTTATTTGTGGTGATTGTGAAGGGATTTGGTCCGTGTGGCAGCATGCCCCAGTCCCGGTGGGATTTATGTTGTCACATAAAAATAAATTAACTGAACAGCATCAAAAATCGTTAATCAGTTTGAGGTATAATTAGTTTTATACGTCTTATCAATTGCATTTAACTGATTTAATTCATACAAGTAGAACGATAAGAAACTGAAAACTAAATACATATGAAAATCACGCCGAAATTCCTATATATCTAGCTCCGGTTCAGTGTTGACGTTCTCGCTCATACATAAAACCCTAAAAACCTGATTGGCGGATTGCTCTCAGCTCTCTTACCTGCCAATCGACAAGTCCTGGTTTTCCACTGGATTCCAGTACTAGTAGTGTGGAAAAATGATTGTTTTGAGAATTAGTTCATATGTCAAAATAATATGGCGATGTTTTTGAATCATTAGATGTCATTTATATAGGGATATATTTTTTTATTTTTACTTATATTAATCCTGTGATTAATAGCATAGTTAATTTATAAATGGAGTGTTCCAACCTATAAAATGATTCATGAAAAATTGTGTCAACTATATTAAGTATCTCACGGTTGATTAAATTGATAAAAAATTAATAAAAAGTATCTGTATCTCAATTGGATGTCATGGAATTTTCTTATAAATGTCGACTTCGTGATTCATAACATGAAAAGTGTATTTAGCTTTCTAATTGCTCTACTGTTCTGAGTAATTCAATTTTTATGAAAAATCATATTTACCGTGAAATTAAGAAAAAAAAAATTATTGAAAATTTATTTGTCTAATGGTTTTAATTGTTTTTATTTTATGTTTGATTACAGATTTCATCCTTATTTCTAAGATGATTAAACGATCATTGTATTGTGTAAAAAATAGTCGAAGCTGCCTATCGAAAAAAACAGTCACTTATTTTCCTACAATATTAATAAAATCTACTGCCTGCTGATAATTGATTCATCTATACTTTTCAATGAACTTAAATGGATACCATGACAATAGTTAAAATTATGTTGAGCTGAAAACCCTATTTAGACAACTTATGTGTGAAATCTAGTTCATCAAACTTTTATAAATTACAAGTAATTAAGAATACTTTAGTGACTATAAAACTATTATTTTAAAATACTAAAAATAACTTGGAAGTAAGTTAATGTTTTTTACTTAATTCATTAACATAACACAGATAAGTGAACAAATAGTTGATTGAAAATAAAAACAAAATAAAAAAATATGGAAACAATATGCGTGGTTGAGTATTCAATATCTCGAATAAGAAAAACGAACTGTTTGAATTAACTGATCACAATGTACGAAAAAAATTTACAATATTTACATCAATGCTTAGAAGTTACATTCAAACAAAAAGAAGAAAACGACGAAGAGGCTGTATTTAAATATTTTATGGATGATAGAGGACAAATATACTACTAACCCTAAAGATATCAAGGTATTTATTTTTATAAATCTCTCCTGGTCATTTTTTTATCTTTATAATAAATATAAATATTTATCACATTTCTAAATGTGTGAATTTTGTTTACTGAAAATATCAAACATCTAAACATAAGAGTTTATTTTTAACATCAGGCTGCCATTTAACTACAGCTGCTCAAAATTTCACATGACACATACATAAAATAGAATAAGATATCTGCCAGTGGATAGATTTTGCAGAAGTTGTGATAATTAACGTTAAAATAACATTTTAAAATTTATTTTTTAGGGTTAACCGTCATGGAAAGTAGTATTTCTGGTGTCGTTCAAGTGTTCGTGGGTGAATGGAGCCCAGAATATGAAGCACTTTCAATAAAAGCAACTAAACAAACAACTTCTGCTGAAATCGTAGAATGTATTATTGAAAGGCTTGGTCTTGTAGATGGTACTATGTCAAATGGATACGAACTTGCCGAAGTTGTTGGAAATTCAGTTGGTCAAGAATGCAAAGAAAGAAGACTTGGACCATCAGAGTGTCCTGTGGCACTTATGTTACTGTGGCCCAAGAGTGTTACTCAACAAGAGTATTATAGGTAATGCTGACAAATTGATAATCATGAATAAAATTAATATGAGTTTCAATATTTATAAATCAATAATTGCATTAAATTTTTTAGATTTTATTTGAGAAAGAAAACACCCGACTATTTATGGTCGGACAGTAGATTTCCGATGGATCCACAGCTTCTCAAAGATTATTTCAACAGATTTTTATATCAACCAAAAGACAAGGAATATCCTGACTTGTGCCAATTACCAGATCTCAATGAACAAACTTTACTGGACAATCTTCGAGCGAGGTTTTTAGCAGGAAATATTTATACTTATGTTGGAAGCATATTAATTGCTGTGAATCCCTTTAAATTTTATCCTATTTACAATCCAAAATATGTCAAACTTTATCAAAATCGAAGACTTGGTCCTGATATACCTCCACATATTTTTGCTATTGCGGATGCTGCCTATCACTCAATGTTAAAAGAAAAGAAAAATCAGTGTATTGTTATTAGTGGTGAAAGTGGTTCAGGCAAAACGGAATCTACAAATTTTCTTTTACATCATTTAACTGCATTAAGTCAAAAAGGATCACACGGTAGTGGTGTCGAGCAGACAATTCTTAGTGCTGGACCAGTTCTGGAAGCCTTTGGAAATGCCAAAACTGCTCATAATAATAATAGTAGTAGATTTGGTAAATTCATTCAAGTTAATTATAAGGAAAATGGAATGGTCCATGGTGCTGTAGTTCAAAAATATTTATTAGAAAAATCCAGAATAGTTTCACAAGGAAAAAACGAGAGGAATTACCATGTATTTTATTATTTACTCGCTGGTGCAAGTGAACAAGAACGTCAGTTATTGCATTTACAAAGTGCAGATCGTTACAACTATTTAAATAAAAGTGGTTGTTATGGGTTAGAAAATATCGATGAACGACATGAATTCTCAAGATTAAAACAATCCATGGAAATGGTTGGATTTACGCCAGAAAAACAGAGAAGGCTATTTGCAGTTTTATCAGCTGTATTACTTCTTGGTAATGTGGAATTTCAACCGAGAAAGTCTTATCATCATCATGACGAGGCTGTAGGTGTCAAGAATCCAGAAGTAGTTGCTATTATTTCAGAATTACTGCGAGTAAAACAGGAAACTCTTCTTGCTGCATTGACAGCTAAACGCGCGCGAGCTTCTGGAGAGACTTTAGTTATCAATTATCGATTACCAGAAGCTATTGCTGCTAGAGATGCAATGGCTAAATGTTTGTATGGAGCTCTCTTTGACTGGATAGTACTCCAGGTATAAAAAAAATTTTTTTTTCCAAAATTACTTATCAAATTACAATGTATTTATATCGTCTCTTATATATTTTTATATCTTTAGGTAAATCATGCTTTACTCTCCAAAAAAGATACCTTACGTGATCATCAAGGCCATAGTATTGGAGTTTTAGACATCTTCGGTTTTGAAGATTTCAAAACATGCAATAGTTTTGAACAACTTTGCATCAATTATGCCAATGAACAATTACAACACTATTTTAATCAGCATGTATTTCAATATGAACAGCGTGAATATAGAAGACAAGGAATAAGATGGACTGATATTGGATTTAGTGATAATTCTGGGTGTCTTAATTTAATCGAAGGCAAACCAAATGGACTCCTTTGTCTTCTTGATGATCAGTGCAATTTTCCGGGTGCAACAAACGAAACTTTACTACAGAAATTTAATTCTGTACACAAAGACAATCAATTTTATGAGACTCCTCAACGTCGGGAAGCAGCTTTTGTTGTGCGACATTACGCCGGAGCAGTGAAATATCAAGCAGCAAATATGAGAGAAAAGAATCTTGATCTTATGCGACCTGATGGTGTTGTTGGAGTATTAAAAAACTCGTCCTTGGCATTTGTGCGGGAACTAGTTGGTGCTGATCCTGTTGCTGTATTTAGATGGGCGATATTAAGGGCATTCTTTCGGGCACATTTTGCATTTCAGGAAGCTGGCCGTGCTCATCGTCATGGCAGAGGTAAATTCATTAAACAATTAACATTTAAATACATTTCATTGAGTGCCAAATTAAATATTCATAATTATTGTTTATTTTTCTAGCTGATGGCAACAAAAACTCCGTTCAGAACCGATATCGTACACCTAATGATAATTTAATCAGGTAATAATTCATTTTTTTTTTTTACTCATATCACTTTTTAAATCGAAAAGTTATATTTAATAATAATAATATATAAAATATACATTTATAAGCTTTAAAATTTGTTTGAACATTCGGATTTGTTTCTTAATTATTAACCAAATTAATAGATTGAATTTATATTAGTTGCATTATCTTTTGTCTCTTATAGCCATCTTGTGACGTTATCGGCTGTTAATCTAACTATTAACAGAATTGCGTAAGTGGTCTTTCGATCCACTCTAAATGTTTTATTACCTTATCTTGACGAGTTTTTTGATATTATTTTCTTACGCCGTTTGTGTTGCATATTAAAAATTATGGATTTACAATTAGTCTAATAATTTTATTTTATTTTTTATTTTTATTCAATTAAAAATTAACAGCTACATTACTATGAAAAATTAATAGATAAATAATGTCTATGGATTTGTAAATCCATATAAGTCTTTAGATTATTTAACTAAATGTTTTCAAAAATTTTCACTACCACATAGTTTATGTCCGCACCTTGACAATTTCGATAGATGTAACTAGATCATTACTTTCATTATGGCAATCATTATTTACAACCTTCCCTTCAAGGTGCATCATTGTCATTCATTATTCAATCAATCATAATAATCATAATAAATTCAACTGGAATGTATTCTATTATTTAAATATCAATCATAGTCAGGGGAGAAAAAAATTAATATTGTAGAATATTAGTAGAAATGTGCTAATAATGAATTATTTGAATAATTTAAATAAATAATGCAATGAAATTTTTTTATCTAAATTACGTTAATGACGGAAGTTAGATAAAACTTTAAAAGGAAAGAATTACAACTGAAGAATATAAATTTAATAATTTGTATAGTACCAAAGTAAATTTATTTCACATTTCAAAAGACATCAATAGTATCTATAAACTTTTTAATTATAAATTTAATAACTTTATTGTTGTACTAAAGTTTTATTACTATTCCAATACTTGACTGAACCGAATAGAATTTATTTTCTACTAACTTTATTTTTTATTATTCTTCTTTTCAACACATAAAAATTGATTATCATTAAGTTATTAAAAAAAAAAATCGTGTATCACTTAATACTATTTTTTATTCAATGAAATAATGTTTTCAAAAAAATTTCCATTACACAAAAATCTTTTATTTATCTTCAATAATTATTTCAATTATTCGAGTTATAAACAAAAGCTGTTCTTTATCACAATTAAAATAGAATATTAAAGAATTTAAAAAAAAATTAGTTTTCGGAAATTCGGCTAAGCATGATAGCATTTTTCAGTTTGCACAAACATAATCGTCCGCCAAGCTATCAGAAGCAGCGCAGTATCTGCTTGCCACCAACAACTCCTACCGCCACATTAACCGCCACACAAATTGAAAACAACGACAATGTAAACAACAACCGGCTATCCTGGCCGCAATTTAGAAATATTAATCAAACTCAACACCCAATGAATATAACGCCAACCAAAGGTGGTTACGTTTTACGGGTCAGGGAAGAGCAGCCTATTAGTAATAATAAATTCAGACGAGATACTCACACGCCACTAGAGAGGGTGCTTCCTAAAGATGAAGCAAACGTCATGGAACGTGCTAATCAAATTGTCATGTATGTAATTGATAATTATCGATAAGACATAAATAATTGTATTTAATAAGGTGCCAGGATTTTTATCTCTAATTTTGTTCTGGGTGGAGGTCTTACTTGTTGATTCAAAATATGCGGTAAACGGTTAGCAAATAATATGAAGATAATTATATTCAATTATTTATTCATTTATTACAATCGATTTAAAATTTAAAATTAAAAATATTTAAACATATGTATGTCATAAATATCACAATCGTTATCACTCATTGATCATCTCCATGATATATATTATCTCGAATCACTTTTTTGTTGCATGCCCAATTTTTTATAGTTATTGTGCAATTTTTTTTTAGAGTAAAAAAAGAATTTTTTTATTATTAATATTAAGTCGTGTGTGAGGTTGCACTTTTTTAATATTAATACACTTTTTACTCTTTACACGTTATTACACTTAATTATATTTTTTAAGTTTTGGGTTCCGATAATTTACTTATTTATATAGCAGTTAATTATGAATGGTCAAAACAGTAATTTTTTTGGTGTTAAAAAATATGATACATCTTACTAATATCTCAAATCTCTAATCATCAAATGCTACCAATTTCTTTGGCTCAATATTCAATAAACACTTAGAAAATAATGCAAGTCTTAATATTCTTCATACTAATGATACTCAATTAATCATAGTGTATAAATTAATGCCTTGCTTAAGTAGAATATCTGCTTCATTATATAATATATATAAATTATATTCTTGCAAATTTCTAGCAAATAAACCAATTTTTTGTATTAAATTTTAAATAATGTATTATTAATTGAGAAATATTTAAACTAATATTTGATATTTTACAGGAAAAACAAGTCATTTCGACCACGTGAAAGAGGTAAAAAAGGTTTAAAAAATCTTCAAACGGTCAAAACACTTGCTGGAAGAACACAGAGTTATGGTACAGGTCCTGGAAAAGCAAGAAAACAACCAATGACAGTATCTGCTCAATTTCAACATAGTCTACATAGTCTTATGGATACTCTTAATCAAGCAAATCCATTCTTCATCCGTTGTATTAAAAGTAATTCTAATAAAATTCCTAATGAATTTGATGAAGAAACTGTTCAAAGGCAATTAAGATATACGGGAATGCTTGAGACAGTAAGAATTCGGCAAGCAGGATTTAACGTTCGATTAACCTATGAAGAATTTATTCAACTTTATCGTATGTTACTTCCAAACGGATTAATAAGTTCACAAAATGACGTTAGAGACTTTCTATTAACATTGAATCTCAATAAAGATAATTATCAACTGGGTAAAACGAAAATTTTCCTGCGAGAATCGGAAAAAATAAAATTAGATATTGAATTACATCAGCAAATTATAACAAGCATAACAACTATTCAAAAATGGTTTCGTGCTTGTTTAGAGAGAAGAAAATTTTTACGAATCAAAAATGCTGTTGTATTAATTCAGTCATTCTGGAGAATGGTTATGGCACAAAGAATGGCTGCAACTGTTCGCGCACGAGTGGATGCTGCAATTCATATTCAAGCTACGTGGAAAGCTTATAAACAACACACGTGGTTTAAAAAGTTTAAATCATGTGTAATATTATTTCAAGCTCATGTGAGAGGTAGAAGAGCTAGAAAAGCTTTTGCTGAAATGAAAAGACGTCAACAAGTATCAATATGTAAAACAGAAACAAGTACCGAAAGTTTTACATTTGAAGAATGTAAAAATATGTTTAAAAATCAATCTAGTGCTCAATTAAAATCTACAACAGAACCATGCCCATCACCACGACGATCTGAAGCTTATCCAAGTTCAAGATTAGAAATGATACATCCAGAATCACCAATAGATTCCAGTATTTCATACTCAAAACGTAAATTAACGCCAAATAAACGAACTCTTAATTCTCGTGATGTAAAAACTTCCGATATTCTCAGTCAAGAGGATAATAGTCTACGTAAAGGTAGTTTAGAAAGTCTTGCAAGTCTCAGAAGTTATGAATCACAGCTTAGCATTGATAGTTCTGAGTCTCATTATTCCCAAGAAAGTGTTAATTCAAAACCTATTCCAAGTGCTAGAACAAAACGTGCTGATCAATCACCACTAATAAATACAGTTAACATAGGTATCGTCAATACTACAAGTCGATCATCCACTAATAAAAGAACAGATAGTTCATCAACTGGATATAGTGATGGTGATACTGATGGAGAAACTCCTAGTACGATTCAAAGTGCTCCACCAATTTTCAATACGAATGTTTCATCTTTTCACAGCTCTCGAGATAAATATCATCCAAGTGGAAATTTGTCTCAGAGTACAGGTGCAGAAATATGGCGAAAAAGAACTGATTATTCAACAAATTATATTGATATTGGTCAAAGTCCACAAAAAGTAGTAATTAGTAGATCTTCAAACACCGCCCAATACAGACATTTAACTGAAAGTCTTCTTGAACAAACGAGAATGGAACGATTAAATGAAGCATCAAATTTAAATATTAAAGTTGACTCAAATGATAAATTAAAAAATGAAATAACTCTCAAAGATCAAAGAAGATTAAACGAGACTACTGGAGAAAAGTTTGAGCCTAGTTCTCCTGCTCGACAAGTTAAAGATTTAAAAGAGTATAGTTTCTTGAAGAGACAAAACTCTGAAGGTGATACTTCAATAAAAACAGACATAATTGATGAATGCATAAATGTACGTAAGATATCATCAATCAAAGATGATGAAACACGACAGGAAAAGACTGAACCGGATGTTCCGGTACGAAGTGCAAGAAGAAATAGACCAGGACGTGAAGTTTTATGCCGGTCTATGGGCGAAAGTGTATCGGAAAATACTTCTAGTGATACGAAAAATATATTTTTAGGTACAATTAAAGAAAGTGATTTTAAATCTACTAGTGTTTGGTCGAAGAAAGATAATTTACCAACACGATCGGTCACTGATTGGCCTGTAAATAAAAATGAAACAGCATTTAAAGGACAACAAGTTGGAAAAAGAATGCGATCAAATGCAATAACAACATTGGAACTTCGAAGAAGAAATTCGGATCCTGCAACAAAAATATCGGGATTAGAAGAGAAGACTGTAGTGGGAAATAGTGATAAATTAGCACCAGGAATGAATCTCTTAGAATGGAAAGGTAATAATCTCTTTACTCTTGCTGGTCATCGATTTAGAAAAGTTGCAAGATTCGCCAAAGAAGATGTTTGTGTTTGTTGTCATGAAAAAATGGATGCATTTGTAACACAAGGATATAAGTGCAATGATTGTAAACAACTTTATCATGTTAAATGTATACAAAATGGAGGGGTATTAAAAATGCCATGTCCATTAGCTAACACACCTAACCGTAGAAAAAACAGAAAACCTATTATGAGAACTCCTTACGAATCTGCTAAACAAACAGTTGCTTCAAAGTTCAGTTTAACAGGTACATCAGCTTTTTCAGATAGTACTGACAAGATCATATCAGATGCAAAAGAGCTGGCTCTGATGCAAGATTTTATTACAAAAAAAATCTACATTATGGAAGGTCAAGAAGAGGGTAAAAAACCTAGTGAAGTTGATCGTGTTTTTAAACAAGCTTTAAGAAAATTTAAAGATGATCTTGTGATTACTTATAGTGTAGTTAATCAAGGAGGAGTTGAAGGAAATATTAAATATACAGATCTTATTGCTAATTTTCTACACGTTATGGAAACAGTTTGTAAGCAAGAGAACACTAGGGAAGACTTTCCTGTTACAATGGGCGTCAATGCATTTAGAGGTTTTATGAATGAATTCATGACTCAAGTAAAACCGGAAGCACTTGATAAACAAAGTAAAAGTAAAAGAAAAAAGGAGAAAAAACGTAAACAAGAAGAACCTATTAAACATGGTAGTCACATGTTTCAACTTACAATTATTAATATTCCAACTGCTTGTGAAGTCTGCACATCGTTCTTTATGTGGCCAATTGAAAGAGGACTTGTTTGTCAGAGTAAGTATTCTGATAATGATCTATTCATATTCTACAATAACAACCAAGTAAATTATTTTCTAGATAACAAAAGAGTATCAAATTGATAATTTTTTAATAATATTTATAAATAAATATACTTAATTATGTGGTTGAAAAAAATTATTTTTTGTTAATACTTGAGAAAATTTTAATAAAATTTATAAACAGAAAAATATATGTATACATATTTGTGTTTCAGATTGCAAACTTACTTGTCATAAGAAATGTTATATGAGAGCAGCAGCAGAATGTGGAAAAGATGGTACAATTCATGAGTTAAATTCTCGAAAAGTTTTTGGTGTTCCACTGTATAAATTAGATTGTGGTGATGGTAAAGTTCCTCTCGTTGTAGACCGACTGATAACTACTATAGAAATGCATGGACTTTATACTGAAGGACTTTATAGGAAAAGTGGTGTGAGTTCTAAAGTGCGTGAATTAAAAATGAAAATGGATGAAGGTGATTTAGAGAAAGTAGACTTTGAAAATTATCAAGTTCACGTTTTAGCAGCAGTGTTGAAAAGTTTTTTCCGTGATATGCCAGAACCTCTATTGACTTTTGAATACTATGACGATTTTCTTCATGCAGCCAATTTAACTGATCCACATGACAGAATCAGCACTTTATTCGCAATCTTAAAGAAACTTCCAAAGCCAAACTTCGATCTAATGGAACGTCTGATTGTTCATTTAGCAAGAGTGGCACTTCATGAAGTAGACAATCGAATGTCATCATCAGCACTTGCTATTGTTTTTGCTCCGTGTATTTTAAGAACAAATAGGACTCTTCCAGCACAAGATTCTCTTCAAGATGTCGGTAGACAAACCAAGTGCGTTGAGACAATTGTACAAGAAAAATTACGATTTGTCAGAGCAACACTTGCAGACATAAGTACTCTAGAGTCTGCGTGTCATGCCGCAACTAATCGACTTTCCAGTCTTCGTTCATCTAAAATATTTAGCCCTGAAGAATTAAGTATCACAACTTCTACAGATGGTAATAGGGGCAATGCTTCAGACCGTGATGGTGATAGGGGTGATGAAGAGGAAGCTCTTCTAGTTGGACATATTCAAACAATTCAAAAAGAAAAAGCTCTTCTTACTTCAACATTGCCAAGTCTTACTCGAGCTTCATCAGACGATGATCTATTACTTTCTGCTACCGACCTCGATGATGGATCTTTAGATGATTTACTTCCACCTTCAGCCGGTAAAAATCTTCATTCTTTCATTAAACAACAAAAAAATCATCTCTTTTTCATTTCCATTCGTAATAATTTAATAATGCAGAAATAATCACCCTTTTCTCATTATTCATGACTTTATTATATTTATTCTGTGTATAAGTTCACATGATGAATATTGTTTATTTTTTAACAAGTTGAGAGCTTCTATAATTTGTTTATCATCTATAACTTTATATTGACTTTAGCGTAATATAATTTAATATTGGAAAATTTAGTACACCGTATACAATAATAATTTTGCTAGATGTACTCTAGTAATACTTATTTTTATTGATACATACTCAAAGGGTATTAAAACAAAAACCACTTATTTTCTTTATAATTTCTACTGCGATACTTCTATACTTTTTTTTATGATTTTTAAGCAAAATTCAATAAAAAAAAAAAAGTAACAAAAAAATCTAGATGTAAATGAATTTCATTTTATTTAAAATCATTCAATTATATTGAAATTATTATTTTATATCAATAAAATTGAAAAAATTTTATAAACTTGTAATATACTAATTATGAAATTTATAAATGTGGACTTATTATATTTGAGATAGTTTTCAATGAATTTTATTACAATTATTTGTAAATTAATTCAATAAATATAAAAAAATTATACTAATTTAGTACTAATTATAAATATTCATTCATTTAAATGTATAAAATTTATATTAAAAATTAAATAATCGATCAAACTTATATCCATTAAATATTTTCAGATGCCTTGGTAAGGAAAAGAAATATTCATAGACAAAGTTCAACAGAAAATACATTTCCTACAATCATCCACGTCGATGAAGACATGGTGATGGTATGACCTGTTATTTGTACCTACAATGAAGTTGATTACCCAGCCAAGATTAGTTAATTTGTGTTCTTCTATTTAAAGTCAATATCCGGGCACATATAGCGCTATTAACTTGGTAGTAATTAATTTCAATAGTTTACTCGACATTAAATAAGTCTTTGAGAGTAAGTTGTAAATGAACGTCGAAAACAGTTTCGATATCGGTTCAGGAGGTTGTCGGAAGCAATAAGAAATGAAGAATATTTTTTATAATAAATCAATATTAATAACTCTATATATATGTTTTCTATTAGATGATAGAAAATTCTAAAATTGTTTAAAGCACAAAGATTGTGATTGAAAAAAAAAAATTAATACAATATTCGGTGCTTAAAAATTTTTTTTTATTTGATTATTATTATAATAATTATTATTTATTATTATTACTATTGTAAACTTTTTTATCTCTCTATAAATACGACTATCGGAATGATTGATCAAACATGCATTTTTTCAAATACCATACGTGTGAAAAAGCAAAAATATATAAAATATGTAATTTTATTTTATCTTATTCAAATTTTCATTTTCGTTCATAGCAAAAATCATCTCGATATTATCAAATATAAGTTTTTTTATAATATTATTATTATTTTATTTATAGTTTTCAAAATAATTACCAACATATTTTTAGTAAAATTATACTTTAAATAAAACGATAAAAGTTGGTATAACATGCTTCTAGTAACAATGAAAAAAAAATATTATTTTTGTTGCGAGTCTAAAGGACTGAATCATTATTTTCGTTATTTATATAAGATAATAATTGAAGAAAAATTATTAAAATATAAATGACGAGAGCAATTTGTTGATTTATTTGTTGAATAAATAGAAAAATTTGGTATAAAAAAAACAAAATAGTGAGACGATTCAAAATTTTGCTTAAAGACAGCCTCCAATTTGGCTTTCGCATGAAATTTAAGCTGCGAATTAGATAAATTATCAATTTCATTGCTTATTATGATGAAAATAACGAAAAAAATATATAAATAATGAGGATAAACCAAAATATAACGTGTATATATATTATAATATAATCTATTTCGTAATCTGTTATTATTGTTACGTTTATAAAATACGTTACCAAGATTATATTTTTTCCGGTAATAACGTCTTTAAAGTATGCTATACGATATTACCAAGAACATACGCAAATTTAGTGTTCTATAATCATTTTCAATTACGTGACGTTAGTTGAAATTGCCTTTTTTTACAAAAGAAAAAATAAATAAATAAAAACCATTTCTTTTCGCTATGATAAATATATAAAGAAATATATAAATATAAAACTATAATGATTATATGAATAATATTTACGTGTAATAACTCTCTGAACTCAATTTTATTTTATATAAAATTTAAAATGTATTTTGTATTTAATTATTAAGGACTATAATAATCATATTCATTATAAAATAACAAATTGTTCAAAAAGAAAAATAACGATAGAATTTAAGTTAAATTTTCATGTTAAAAAATTATGTAAACATACTTTTTCGTAGTAGTTTACAGAACAAAGTAAACAATTTTTTTAGTCGTGATTGAATATTGTTTTTCAATGAAAAATACAAAAATAAAACGATCAAAAAGAAATAACAATTAGACGATAACGCTTAAAATATGACATCCATAACTGGCACAAATATTAGAAACAAAATTCGTTTACTATAAAATAAAAAAAAGCTCTACAATGCTATACAAATGATTATGATAAAAAAATATGGCGAAAGGTCCAGTGCTATCTTTAATAGTAATCGAACAAATCGAGGTGTACAAAGTATAAGTTTTAATGAATAATGAATAATAAATGACGAAAGGCGCTTTGATAAATAACTTCTAAGCAGGTTTAACTTTCCTGCAATTCGACTGACATTTTACACACTATAAAATATTTTTTCTCTTTCATACTGCCATTGTTGCATATATGATTTTTCAATGCGAGAAACTCTTATTTCAATGGTGAAAATAAAACGTGACATTGCGCTTACTCAATTATTTGTATATCTCAATATAAAAATAAGTAAGTTCTGTACAATCATCAGAGTGTACAACATATATATTATTTCTATTATCATATCATTTAATTTTATTTATAACTTTTCATTAATACGAACATGTGTTAAGTAATTTTGTATCACCAATAATAACACATTAAGTGGGTGTTGTTAATATTTTTTACAATTTTTTTAGTGTGAATAGTCAGGTTTGACCATTGGTCATATTTTTATGCTCTTTTAATATCAATTACAGTTTTAAGTCATTTCTACTTGATTATTTTAGAGATTAATTAAATAAATAAATACATTTTTTTTATTCTTCAATGTATTTTTTTATTCTATAAAAATGAATTAATCATTATATCTTCATAAAAATTGAAAACAACGTCAAAATAGAACGAAAAAATTAAATAAACGATTTATTTATTTATTTTGTTGTTGTTTTATTTCCTTGATTTTTTCTTTATTTTACACTCATTAACTATATAAGATTTTCATAATATTAATAACGATTTTTGAACGACGAAATTAAATTTAAATGTATTGTAAATATATAGTTTTATTATAATATTAAGGATAAACAATAATTAAAAATTGATTATGAATAATATTATAACATTAGTTAAAAATATTTGGAAATAATCTACCATGTATATTGTAAAGTAAACGCATACGCTTCAATTGTGCATGGCATTTTTCAAAAAATATTAGAAACAATCAGCGATGTAAAATATTTTTTTTATCATAAATAATATATAATAGTTTGTAAGTGAACAAATATCTAGAAGAAAAAATTATAAAGTTAGTAACGTGAAAAAAAAGTCAAATAGAAATGGTAAAAATTTTAATAATTTAATCCTTCATATTTAAAAATTAATCAACTTGATATAAATCGATTAATAAATGTACAGATTCTTCAATTTTTATTTTAACGTGAAATGTCTTGAAAATTATAAAAAAGGAGCTATCTGGTATAAAAAAATATAGATTGGTGATACCGCAAATAAAAATATAGATGTCCATTTATCTTAATCGCAACTATTTGTCATGGACATTCCACGTTTAATTAATGACCGTACGGTTCGACATTGCTACTTCAACTTTTTTATATAAATAAATTAAATTTCTACAATTATTACTTTATTTATTATTGTTGCTATTAAAGTTTTTTAAAATTTTTTACTTTATTTCGTGTCAAATTAACAAATAAATAACTATATTAATTTTTTTTACATGTATATAATGATGTTATTAAGTATCCAAACTCTGAATAAAACTTGGTATAAACCAAATACTGAGAAAAAAGAAATATTGTCCAATGAAATTTGCAGTAATTATTAAAAGATTAGATTAATGATCTTTCTATTCGTGTCTTGGCATTAAACCAGCTATAAACATGAAATTATAAATAATAAAACAAGAGTTCTTTATATATATATATATATATATACATAGAAAAAGTGATTGTATTTCTTCTAACATGATACACATGATTGATAATTATGTATAACTAAATAAAACTTTGATGACATAAACATTATGTTATACGTGAATGAATGTGTAATATGTACGTATATTTTTCAGCCTAACTGATAAATGACAAACTAACTTATTTGAAGAATACTTAATCATAATATAAATAAAATGGGAATCTTATTCAAAGTTTATCATTATTTTTTCAATTACAAGAGAAATTTTTGTATGAGATGGCATTTATTACACAGAATTTTATTTTTAGATACATTATAAAATATTTGTTTAGTAAATAAAAATGAATTTGAGTATTTATTAATCAATGCAGTGCAAATAAATAAATAAGACATGAAAAGAAAGTATGTTTTTAAGTGGAAAAGTATGGATAATTGAAATTAATTTGAGGTTTTTTCAGATATACATATATACATATATATATTTAATGAAATATTTTATTTTAATGAGTTACGTAAAGCTTATATGTATACTGCTATGGAAAAATAAAGCTCGAAAATAATGAAAATCCAGTGATTGATCGTCAAGACTTGTCGTGATTGACTGTAATTTTATAAAATGTTTGTAAGTGAAAAAAAATCTTATTTACATTCTACTTGAAATTTAATGATATCTATTACACTTAAATGAGCCTGATTATTATTTATTTTAATATTACAAATAAGAAAAAAAATAACTTACGGATATGAGATTGTATCACGAAAAGAAATAATTATTTGTAAAAAATGAAAAAAATACTCATACTTAATAAGAAAAAAAAACATGAAATATTTTCTATAAACTACTTCCTAATCTTAAAAAGTTTTTATCCTCTTTAAAGCCGATTATCACAGCATATAATCGTAAATAGCAGATTTAAACGGATGATTATGAAAAAATTCCATTTACTTTTTATTATTAACGAGATTAAATTTTAATAAAATTCACTTAATTATTGATCATAAATTAACTCATGCTTATTATGCGTGTGGATAATATACTGAGAGAAAAATTTACTGTGATCAAGTGATATTTTTAAATATCTGAATATTGGTTTATTTTAGTGTTTTATTTTTCTTAAGATCAATGATGTCTTATTATTATTATTATTCACTCAATGAGTAATGTGTAATTATTATTCACTCAATGATGTCTTATTAGAAAGTAAGAATGAGTCCAATATCACTTGTATTTAGACTTATCATTATCTTGAACCAACTATCAAAATACATTTCGTTCAATTCAATACAATATTCTATTGCAAATATTTCAAATTATTTTTATTAATTAAATCAATATTTTTTTATGTAACGAAAATATTTTATAAAACATTAACTTTTCAATAATTTCAAGATCATCTTCTACCTCGATAAATTCAAGTATGACTCCAATGTTATTTTCTTTCATGATAATTTCTGAATCATTTCTCAATAAAAAAAAGTAAAATTACAATAAGAAATATATTTATTTAAACATTGAATTGTTCAAGTAAATAGATTTCTTGATGTACAAATACTGGAAAAATGGTACAATAAAAAAGAACTGCTACAAATATGATTTTTTTCTACATTAAGAGCTTATCACTGACTAAATTAAATAATTACATATTATTAATTAATTTTAAATTCTAACAAAAAATATTTGTATACCTTCAAAACTGAATTTAATACCGTTAATTGTATTGAAATGTATCTATCTTTAAAAATTAAAGTTGATGTTTAAAATTTGCAAAATCGACGGATGTGTGAGTAGTGCTCTTGTAGAGGAAATCATCGAGTAGTAGATGCGCAGCGCTAACGTTTAGATGACGCAGTCGCTGAAAGAAGCTCTTGTGTCAGGTCGATAGAAAAGCCCGCTGCTGTGTTAGTTAAATTCTCCGAACGCGAACTTGCATCTAGAGTTTGTAAAAGGGGATAGAGAAGAATGTACTTGTCACTGGTGTGGAAGGAAAGAACGTCTAGTATGTATGTATACTTATGGAGAGTGTAAAGAGAGATGGTTCCTTATGGTATCGTGAATTTCATTTTCTTTGCTATAAACAAGGTATTTTTGCCAAAACTACATACCTGAAGAAAAAGAAAGACAATGTAGTAAGTTCATGTTATGTCGTCGAATTAATTACCGGCAATCCTCACTCTGCTTAATGGTTCTTCCTTGAAACCAGGTCGACGATGCACTGCCTTCGATAATCCGTGCCAGAGATTTATATCACTGTTCTGATCGTGTTATTCATTTCGCTTCGCCCACCTTAAATCGTCAACTCTATTTTCTTTTTTATATCTCTGTAATAAATATCAAAATAAATAGCTTGCTATCAAAAAAATATCTATGATATAAATATAAAAATTTAATATCTTAAAAAAGTAAAGAAACGATAATAGAAATCGATTATCGCTAAATAAAAAACGATACTTTGATTACTTATCTATAAAATCTTTAACTACTCATAAAATTTTACAGTAACAAATCTCTTTTATAACCTGATTTTATTTAATTTTTTACATTTTTTATTCCTCCCCTTATAATATGTTATATATAACAACTCCGTTGACAAGTTATTTTTACTTTTTATTATTCACTGAAATTTGTTTAAATCGACACTAAATAAATTTTTAGTAATAAATTCATCGATTATTTAACATGAAAATTTAATTTAATCTTTATTCCAGTGTTTTTAATACAAAATATAAAATAAAAAGTACACTTTTTGATGACTTAAGCACAAAATAAACACTTTGACGATTGGCTACTTAAGCTGCTTACATTCAAGTTAAATACCCAAATGCAAACTAATTACGTATTTTTTCAGAAGTTTTAAAATTTTTTTTTCTTATCTATCACAATGCTATTGAAAGATAAGAAAATTAAGTAAAAATTTCATGTAATCAACTTTATACGAGAAAATCTCTACAAAACAATCTTCTTCATTTAACATTTTAATATACATCTGTTCAAAACAGTAATACGTATTTACTGACAAGAAATAATACAAATGCATTATTGCAGAGTGAATTACATGTTGCATAATGTTACTAGTTTACATTAAATGTTCCAACTATGTATTCAAAGCATAGATTTAATTGACATACTATAAAGTTTCACCGTATGAATTACCATGAATTTATTGGCAACATATTTGTGATGTCAATTGTAACACCTCTTGAGTTTAAATCTGTCATACATAAGTATTTCATCAAAATAATATTTGTATTAATAACAATGTAATTGATGTCAGATTTTTCTAATTATTTTTTATATATTAATTTAGTATGATTTTAAATTATTGAGGCTACATATTGAATATTTAAATGCAATAATAGTTTTTTATTCATACCTTAGATTGTATCTTACTTTTTATCACTTACCCTACTCATTAATTTTATCATTGATTTTCAGAGAATAAAAAAATCTATCTTTCCATATTGTATTTATTGTAGAGTATCTTGTTCAGAAACTTGAATTCTTGTTTTTAATTTCTTCTTTTTGTTTTGAATTTTTCATCATTGTCGTTGATCAAATGCTATCTATCAGAAGTTCTGACCAAAAGATGTAAAAATGAAAAACTCACTTTAAGTTCCTTTAAACGTTTATTAGTAACAATAATGATGACAATAAAACTATTTTAAAATATTTTTATTAGATATTATTTTATATTTATGTTTTTATGAAATTTTATTTTAATTATTTATATTTCTTGACATTTTCTGAACAATGTAAAATCTAAAAGTAACATGAAAAATCTTATTTAAATTTATACTTTGTAGGTATAATGAAATGATAATAATGATAGCATAGTGTTAAAAAAAAAATTTTCTTTATAATTCCACTTTAATTATTCGTCGAGAAAATCAAGTTTTATAGTAAAAATAAAATCTAATGTGTTCTAAACTCTTTTGCTTGCCGTGAACGTTTCAGAAACATAAATATTATGAAAGCAAGACATTTAACGTCCAAGCACTGCTGCACATCTGGTGCTGTCGTCATGAATATAACTTGAACTCTTACCTCGTCCTTCATCTCCATCTTCTTCTTCTTCTTCTGATACTGTTACTGGTTTGGTGTTTACTTGTATCCCAACAAACTTTTGTCCTGATGGTAGAATGGTGTCAGTTTGACATAACCTTATCTATACATTAATTAGTAAACGATCTGAAACAGCAATTAAAACCTTATAATACGACAATTTTGAATTTTAGTTAAATAATGAAAAGAAATGCAATAATAGTATGTCTGGTAGTTGAAAAAATACTTATCTTAAACCTTAATTTAAAGCCTAGGATAAATACTACAAGTGATTATGAAAAAATTCTTTATAAATGAATGTTAAATAAAGAAGCCTCAAGGGATATTCAGTCTCTCTTCCCTACATTCATTAATTTCTCCTCCCTTTCAATTCGTATTTTACTTACCCTCCAAATTTATCTTCACTCTCTACCCTCCACTTCTAGCAACATTCTATTTTCCCTAGTCGTTTGCTCCTGACAAACCAACAGATTATGTATACATGTTATCTCTTCCAACGGGATGACCGGGCAACTAGCCAATATAAACTCTATCTTCTCCTGTTTGCATTTTTCTTTCTTCTTGCTTCTATAGTATATGCCGCCCTTCTCACTTGTTAACGTTGAACGCCAAGGGTGATAGACTTGCTGAAGCCACAAACTAATTACAACCCCAGGCATTGAGAGTGCATAAAACACCGTGTGAAATGAAAAAAAATAAGATGGTGATATGCATCATGTGTGTACAGTCATATTTATAAATAAGCTATTAATTCTCGAGTGAATAAAATAATAGATTTTCAATATCAAGTTATTCAGAAAAATGTCGAGAGTTTTTTTGATATTACCTTTTTTATATCACATTGAGTTTTAGACTCAATTAAGGTATTTCAATTGAAATTAATTTTTTTTTAAGATTTCCTTTTTTTTACAGCATTAAAATGGAAGATTATTGAAAAATAAAACTTTTGTTTGAATAAAGTTGACTCATTCCATCTAAATTGATGATAATTCACTATAAGACTGGGTTTTTTTAACAGTCATTCAAAAACGGTTCTTTAAATGTCTTCTTAAAAAAATTATATAATCTAAATGCATTTATAAATATGCAGAAAGCTAGTGTGTATATATCAAAGGGTCCTGAGTCTATTTATTTTTTGATAATACAAAGCCCAGAGCGATCGAAATACCTTAAATGGCATTATCATCATTAATGTTCAACTTAGAACACATAGATTTGCGCATGCGCAATTCAATTCTCAAGTACCTAATTCGACGAGCTCAACATTGAGCTTAATTAAACTGTATATGGACGTAACGACATAATTGCTGTACCGATTTACCACACAGTCCATTAAAATACTCCATTTCTTTTACATCAACATCATAACATATCCATACATGCTATTTTTACGTAAATAATTGATTAAATATATTAGAAATAAACTAAGAAAAACAACACTGAAAATTTCAAATTTGGAAGTATTTTATTTCAATGCATTTAAAGTGTTTAAAAAATTATTCCAATTTTAATTAAATGGACGACGTCATATTAAAACACTGTAAGTGCATTGAAATAAAACATATATAGTACTGGATACTTTTAACCCTCATTACCTGTAAAGAAATACTACTTGGGGTTGAAGGTAATATTAATAATTTCCATCAACTATAGGAAATGTAAAAGATTTGTTATCATCACCAAAAATCATTAACATAAATTATTCTTATCAAATATTGGTGCTTAAGTGATTTTTATTTGTCTAAATTATTTTAATAACATAAATATACAGTAAAATAATCAATATTAATTAGAATAAGAATTAATTTTTTAACTTAAATACTTGGCAACTTAGCTGTATCAAAAAGTTAATAACACACTATTTCTCACTATCACTAACTACCACGCGTTATACTCACAAACTAACACTATTTAATTTATATATTACACAAACTCAAGTATGCATGCTATTTATATTCAAAAATAATTTCAATTATTAGTTGTTTTAAGTACTTGAAAATATTCTCAAGTTCATTTATTTACTTTTGAAGATATCTTTTTGTTTTCAAAGTGAATCAATGAATGAAATAAACATCATCTCCTTGTAATTCTCAACGACATTTAAACATAATTCTTTGCTCTATTTATCAACTCGCTATTATTCTCCAAAAGCGATAATATATATGTATAGGCTATGAGTGGAGTAAATCTATTTGAGGGATATAAACGCTTAGATATCTTGATAAAAGGCACATACAAGGGTGTAGTAATACGTTTTATTGAACTTTAATTCTCCCAAGCGATACAAGTCAAAAATATATGCTTGTCATGATGACTTTAAAAAGTAGAATAAATAAATAAAAAAAAATATATCTATACATATATATGTGTATGCAATGAGCGATTGTTAAAAAATGGTAATTTTATGATAGACGATCTTGTAAGAGTTTTCTCAAGAGATTTATTACTTGATATATTTTTTCGTCCTGCTTTACAGCCGCTTGGAATTATAAAACAAACGAGGGTAGCTGGTTGCTTGGATATTAAAATTGAGAAAGTACGAGTTTCCGTTGAATCTTGCGTGTCGATCATTTCATATAAAGTCTTAGAGGGATGGCGGAGAGTGAGGGAGTGAGGGAAGGGAGAGGTAGGAAAAAAAATTTCCTGAATGATTTCTTTTATAATATTTTTCTTTTTTTTATTTTTATTTGCTATCCCTCTAGAGAATATGTTCAGGGATGTAGTCAAGAGCACCTTCGAGTATTCAATCCAGTACTCCACTTGGGAGAGCTTATACCGAATGCTTCTAATACCGACATGAGTACGGGTTGAAAACAGAAAAGCTCCACTTCTTAACTTGAATTATTTTCTAGCCTTAAAATTAAATACATAATAAAATGGAATGATAATTAAATTTGTATTAAAATTTTTAATTCTTAAATTTTTTTAATAAATAAATAAATTATTTTAATATTTTTTTCTTTAAATTCTAATAATTATAATATATTATTGTTAAAATATATTTAAACCATACAATCGAATTATATAAACTCATGTAAAAGTTTTTTATTAAACACTAGTCTTACTTTAATTGACTTCAACTACTTAAGTAGATTGTGGCGTCACACATCAGACGACATTATTGTACTCGAGTTATTTCGAGTATAAATAATTTATTACACCACAAAAGTCCATCTATGTTATTGTGAGACTAGTATTTTCGTCAAATTAATTGGTGATTATTTTAACAGAATTGGCCTCATTATTAAAATAATATTTCAATAAAAATGAGCCAATTATGAGATAATGTGAACTAATTGTTATTATTAAAAAAAAAAAAGGTAAATGAAGTAATGAATAATAAAATAGAATGTGCATAAATTATAAAAAATAATAAATAAAAAGAGAGAATAAAGGAATATATCATAGTGAGAACAGCGTTTAAAAATTTGTCCTACTTTTTTCTGGCATTGTATTCATAGAAAAAAGAAAATCGATTATGTCGTCGCTCAAATTGATTGCCCTCGAGTCTGCTAACCGGATGCCCTCTCCAACTTTGTTACCGCTGGTAAAATCACCGAAACTCTCTCCAAGTGCCGGATGACATGCGAATTCGATTTGTATCCCAGAGACGACTATTCCATACGTTTTGCTTGCCTTCCACCTCTGTCACTCTATATCTCTTTATATAAAGCTGCAAGCATACACACAGATATAGACTCAAGCGTGATACACTCCAATGACAAAGGGGTAATGTATACGTATGTAGTCTCACTACAACTGTGTTAGTGGTATTATATCGTGGGTGTCACATGTGCATCGTTTCATCCACTTGTCACGTGTCCGCTCGACTGTCTCGCGTACGTTGATGCCTTCGTGATCCTCTCAACCGTCAACTGTACATCTCATGTCGAACTTTACACCCATGTTGTTGCTAATCGTTTCATAAATACATACAACTAAATGGTGATATGATTTAATAAAATCCGTTACAATTTAACTGTTATTATTATATCTATATATACACACGCAGAGAAATGTATAGTAAAAATTACCCTGAATTTTATAGGAATTTGGTGACACTACAGGGTGAGGGTAAAAATTACTATACACATTGTAAAAATTGCTGTGCACATTCTAAAAATTACCATGCTGCATAGTAATTTTTACCCTAATTTTACCCTAAAAATTACTATGCAGTATGGTAATTTTTAGAATATGCACAGTAATTTTTACCCTCACCCTGCAGGGTCACCAAATTACTATAAAATTCAGGGTAATTTTTACTATACATTTCTCTTCGTGCATATATTGTTATGCAGTTGAACAGATTCAGGATTTTAGTTAATTTTAACACACACTCATTTATTTCAATGATCATTAATTTATTGTCACATTCAGAATTTTATTAAACTAAATGTTTAATCCCAAACGTTACAATTTATGTTATTACATTAAATAATAATGTATACTTATTTAATTTAGGCAGTAATTAAGCTCTTGATGTAAAAGAAAATTCACTATTTATTTAAACAATTCAATGTTTAATAATAATATAGGATTTATTGTAATTTTATTTTTAGTATTAAGGAATGATTTAAGAGTCATTATACTAGAAAAGAAAATTGGAGTTTAATTTAAATTCATTGAAGTACTGTTAAAAAACCTAATTATTTATTTATTTTAATAATAATATTATTTAAAGAAAATTATTATCGCCATGTAGTAGTATAAAAATGACCATTTTTTTCCCTAAGAACTCCAGTTACAAATCTTGTTCCGAAAAGTCTACATCAAATCTCTGGGTAAAGCCATAAAACCATATCAAATCTTTATGTGAGATAAAAAATTAATAAACAAACATTTTTTAGTGATTTTTTTTTTTCAAAATATTTATTTTTTTGTGTAGATTAACAAAAAAAATATATGAACTTCGTTTAATGCTTTGCAAAAAAGCTATGAACGATTACATCTAAAGAAGTGCGTTCATAATCACATTTAAACTCATAAAACTATATGAAATCTTCAAGTGATATATTTCTTATATTTTTTTTCTATAAATCCGCTGTAAAAACGAAGATTTTAAAAAAAAAAATCATTAAAATCGGATGATTTTTTGATTTTCTAGAGCCAAAAAACGAGGGGACAGCGAAAGTATAAAATTACCAATCTCTGTTACAATAAATCAAGAAAAATAATTAAAATACAAGAGTAATTTTTTCTTAACAAAATTATTACGTTTGAGGGAAATAAGTAAGATAGTAGTCTTAAGACAAAAAATATAAGAATACTAACGTCATCGTAATTTCAATACCTGAACAATGTAAAGTAGTTGCGGTGTAACAATATATTCTCGAGTCCTATTAAAATATACATCGTTGGATATTTCTGTAAATCTACAATAAAGTCGATATCTCAGTAAAGATCAATCGATTTTCGTTTCCGTTGGCCGTCAATTCTGCTTCAGGACGAGTGGATTATTCGTGCGAGAGCATTGGGAATCGTTTTACAGACCAATTGTTCGGAAATTTTCATGGTTTCATGTTCTCTATTACTCCTATCTACTGTTATATCGAACCTCAGAATTTAAATGTTAAAGATGAATTTATGTGATACGTAAGTACATACATAGAAAAATTTATTCAATTAATCATTAAATTATGTAAATCATAAATATTACATTCATTGTCTATCTTGAAAAGTTTCACCACAAAATCAAATTAATTTGTTTAAACAAAAAAGAATACTTGAGAAGAATGAAATGAAATAAATGTATAATTAATGAATCTTTATTACCAATAAATGTCAGCGTAATTATATTTGCTTATGAATATCATGTCATCTAGTGTAATACGTACCATACAAATGTTTTAATATTTCAGCATAATTTTCATTTTCAAAATGGCTACAAATTTGTGATGATATTAATCAAAAAGTAATTAGGAAACATTTTTCACAAATTAATATAAAGTTAAATTATTCAAGCAATTAAAGAATATTGTTAATATCCATCAGATTGATCTTGAAAAATTATTTATTTCAATAGACACAAACTTGAGTAAATGACGTCTAACATATACATAAATCCTCAGGAGGTATAAATATTGATTTAATTATTATAATTTCACTTATAAATTCACAAACATACTTATTATTTTTATTTGATTAATTATTTACTGTTCATCAATAAAATCAGTTAATTCTTAATGTTGATGACAGTCGAGTGAATAATTAATAGCGTCCATACACGCGAGCTTTTCCTTCTTTTTCATTGCTAGTAGTGGTTTTAGTTAATTGATTGTTAGTATTATATTTAAAGGCGATGAATATTTTATGAATTTTATACTTTATATAATAATTATAAGTTAAACTATCAATGGTCGTTTTTTTTAAGATTCATTTAAAATTAATTATTACAAATTATATGACACATTAGATTTTATTTTTAATTCTTTTAGAATTATAAATAATTATGAATATTTATATTTTTTTTTCAATATCTCTACTAATTATTTATGCTATTTATTTTTTTTATCCATGTGTAAATCCATCCAATAAAAAATAATAATTAGTTGCCATTAAGTAAAAAGAATAAAGTGACCCAGAAAACTTATTAAAAGATAAATGAGGTCATTCATCTTCTAAAATATAAAGTTGGTTAAACTATTTAGTACGATATGACGGGATAAAAAATAAAAATAATTAGAAATAGGGAAAGAAAAAGAATATCTCATTGTCATCAGATAAAGATTTGACTTTCATCAGACAATTGATCCTTTGAATAGAGATCTTAAGGATACTCAGACGCTTTTAAGTATAGGTAGTCGAACGACGAAGAGTCATAAGGCGATAAGAGGTTGAGCAAAGGCGAAACGAACGATAATGCGGACGACCAAGTGGATAATACTGGTGCGATGAAGGCACATAGTGGATAATGGAAAGATCATTATATTCAAGAGAACAAAGTCTTTCTCTTCATCTAAATCCCCTCACTTGTCTTCCGGATTTCGCGCAGGCTCAATTATCACTCACTTTTATCTACAAATATACTATGACAATAATTGATTATAAAAAACTTCTTATTTCTATGTAATTTTTGTTTTTAACTTTAATGTTAAATAGTAACACGTAATTTCACTATTTTTAACTTTCATGTGAAAGAATGATTGATGAATAAGGTGTTAGCATTGAAGAAGTCTTTTTTTTTTTAACAAAAAAAAAATTTGTCATGGCATTAAATCAAAACTCCAATAAGTACAAAATCCAGCACCCTCCAAAAGTTAGTTGAAATATTTAGGTATAAATTATCTGGTATTCTTTTTTTCTTTTACTCACTGCAAAGTGAAGTGTGTTAAAAATAATCACCCATAAACGTGTCTAATATTAAATTCTATAAAAAAACTATAGAATTCAACACACTCTGAAGTGTGTATAAAACAAATATAAGACAAATATAATATAATATAATTTGATATAGAAAGGTATAGAAAAATTGCATGTATAACCTCAAAAAAACTGAAAACAATTAGACAGCATTTATGTCGCGTAGTGTATATAGATATGTTTATTGTAACACACTTATTACAGTGTATAACCGAAACACTGAAAGAGTAGATTCGGAGGTTATACAGGGAAATTATTTTGGCGCATGCGCACAAATTATTTCTGAGCTTGTTCACAACCTAAAATAATTAATTTCTTAGATAAAATAATTTTCTGTTTAACAATTATTGATAAATAATAACTTAAAATAATTTAAAATAAAATAGGAAAATATCATAAACACAATAACTTACAATAAAAATTTCTTGTATAACCTCCAAATCTACTCTTTCAGTGTTTCGACTATATGGGTTATTCTAAAGCACACACTGCAAGTCCAAGGGCATTCTTATTATCAATGTAAACATGTTGAATATGACGTCACCTATTTGATTAGCATTGTAGTCCCTTTTGAAATACGTTCGAGTGCTGTGCAATAAGTTGAAATAAAATTTCTGACTTAATTTTGGAGAGCAGTATATAAGAATGTATTTGATGCTTTTCTGTCAATTTTAAATTCAATTTCACAATAAAGGTCTTTGAACTGTAGAATTTGGTGAGTCATATTACTTTATTCTTTGTTATAAAAGGATTAAATCATTAGATTATAAATTACTTTTCACTTTGATTTATAGGTTAATAAAACTACTGTATAATTACAGAAACTTGTCTACATGTAATGCATAAATACAACAGTTATATCAATGAAATTGATATAAATTGAATACGAAAAAAACCGTGGATTTTATATATTTATGATGATTGATTTATTAGTATTGCTGCAATGCAGTAAAATGTAGTTTACTTTCCTAAGAGGAACAGAGTTTATTCACTATGGGACTCATTTGTACACTATAGTCTTCGTCATCAAAGGTAATATTAATTACATTGATCAATTTTGCATAATAATATTGAATTTTCTGATAAAAATAATCAGCATTCGAATGCTTTATTTTTGTCATTAATTTTTTACTTTTACAAATTTATTTGTTAGCCTTGATAATATTTGATAATGAATTTACTTTTATGTCTGGAGTAAATATTTCACTCTTTGGAATGAATCAATAAATAGAATAGAACTGATATAATAAATTTATTTACATACATATATTATTTTTTTTGCATACGTGTATTTATGATATTTATTCAGATATTTAAATATCTGAAATATATTGATAGAGTAAAAAAGTATATAAAAAATTAATATATACATGTCATACTCCAATCTTGATATCACTATTCCATTGAGTAATTTTGTAGTTGAGAAATTCGAAGCATTTTATAAAAATTTAAACTTCATTGTTCCTCTAAAATACGTTAATAATTTTTAGAAAAAAAACAAATAAAAATTAATAATTAAACTGAATGCTTATGGAACAATTCTATTCAACTTTATTTAAGAAAAAGCTCTTTTTTACATAAAAAATATTAATATAATTGAATTTTTTCCAACACGAATCTTGTATATTATTTCTCTAATTTTAGATACCTTTGTTACAATTTTTTTTTTATTTTTATTATTTTACTGGAAAGTAATTTTATTTATCAAAATTCCTTCTTTAAAATATATCAAATAATCCTCCTGAAATTGCTAAAAAAAATCGTAACAATCGCTTTCTCTTTCAATATTTTTTTATTGCATTTGAACACGTGCTTAAAAAGTAACTACAATGCTAATTAAATAAGTGACGTCATATTAAAGCACATTTGGTGCATTGAAATAAAACATTATGATTTGTTTATGACGTTCAACATTGTAAACACTTTAAGTGCTTAGTTTATAAAGACTCGGATTTGTAGTGATATTGAAAGAATAAGAATGCTTTTATAAATTTGTTCTACCTAACAAGTTTATAAAATATTTTAGAATCCTAAAAATTGATAAATATATCTATTAAATAGGAAGAAAGAAGAGAAATAAAAATGGAGGTAGTCTAATAGAGTAATAATGTTTCACAATTAGTGTATGACACATATGGCACAACATGCATCTACACAAACTAGAATATCTAAGTTCAAAAATTGCCATGTTCATTCCTTATTCTCATAATGATATAAATAGCATATGGTAATTCCTACACGATTTGTCATAAGCGATTAATCGTACTAGTGATAATATCATCGTGTATATTATCCTGAGATACAGAGAAACGGAACCAAACGAGTTAACGTCATTTGTTCTTGTACACGCGCATGACTTACGACATCAATATATCGATATATATATATGTATAAATTTATAGCTATTACAAACGTCCACAGGAAGAATATATTTATCATGTACGTGTTTTATTCACTATTCCTAAATCACCTTTTATCTTAATATAAATTCTAAAAGCATTAGACCGAATCGTTAAAGAATAAAAATAAAAAATTAAACATACTTAAACTTTTATCTTGTTTCAGATTATCAAATTAGCTGAGCCTTTCCGCTAGCAGACCTATAATCTCACTAATTATCCTAGCATGCGTGTTAGAGCTGAGGAAAAGTTTGGATAACCCGTTGAAAACGAGTGCTCTTCACATACCATCAAACAAAAACCAGTAATTCCTCTAAAATGAATATAAAAGTTAAGTTAAATCATTCAACTTAAATGGAGGATTGAATTTAATTAAATTTACAATTAACACTCGTATTATTATTACCTTTTATTTATTACTTTTTATTCAAATTTATTCACATAAATAAATTTCAATAAATAAGTAAATAGTCAAATAGTTTTTATGTGTGTATGTGATAAAACAGATATTTAAATAATAATATGAAGTTAATTTACGAAGATACTTTTACGAAAAAAATTTTCAACTTATCTTTATCAAACATTGAACATTGTCTAGTACTATGACATTAAAAAAAGAATTAATTGGTAAGTTAAAAAAAAATATCATTGATTACCTATCACATAGTCTATAAATCAAGATTTATATTTGAACTAACCTAATATTCATCAGTAAATATTAAATAAACTTTTTGTAAAAGAAACTTTTATTTATAACTAGGAAACCAACTTTTGAAATCCCATCATTCCGAATATACTCTAATGTCAAAAAGTTAACTCAAATATAAAGTTATTAATGAAAAAATCAATACTTTGTTTTGAATAAATATTAAAGCTTTTATATATACAAAATTTAAATAAATTTATCATTAAAATTAGAAAAAAAAAAAATAAAAATTACTCTTAACGATATCTGTATAACTTATTGTCAAAGTAATTATAAAAAATATCTAAAAACACGACAGTGCTAGCTTATCTGTTGTGAATTAAACTAATAGATAATAGACATGGGAGACAATTAATTCAATTATTAATTTTATTTTTATCAACCTAATGATTTTTTTAATGAAAAATTTTACCCATTTTGAATGAAAAGGGTCAATAAATTAAACGTTAGGTAGAATCACTCTGCCAACAATAAAAAATTTATTCAAAAATAAATATTATTGAAACATACCGTGGCTTTATTTAACTAAACAATTATATTGAGACTCTCAGAGTGCGAGTACAATTATTGTTACGTTTGATATAATTAATTACAGTGTTTTATGTTTGATGGCAAAAATCATTTGATTACAAACACAATCATATCAATCTAATGTCACCCAACGTTACCTTTATTTAATAATCCATAAACTATTATTCTCCAGATATCATCATGATATGATAAACAAAAATGTGATGAAACTTTTTTCTATTCTCCAATACTTATCACACAATCTATCTGGTGGCTGTTTATCTGCATCTCTTTCACCCTGGACAAAAGTCTTAGAGTCGACTCAGCAAACAATGAAAGTGAGTTGAAGTTTTACAGATATAAACTATACAATCGATTATTGATTAATTACAGTTAAGAAGCCCGTATCAATTGCTTTTATGAGCCTAGTTTCCATCATATCCGTCAGACATGTATACCACCACCATCACCATCATCTAAGAAGCAATGCTTAAACATGATTTCCCAGATAAATGTCAAGTGAAATAAAAGGATATTTATCGTACAAAGGTGCCAATCACTCGAGCATTTTCTAGGTTTCAACAATGTTATAGTGAACATTCCATGTCGTTGACTTGGAAATGACCGGAAAATTTGACTCGCTGAGGTGAGAGTAGAGGGCTCGCAGAAAGAGACAGATTAGCGGTGGTGAGTACAAGAGAGAGAGATTGGTGAGAAGGAGAAAAGGGAGACAAGCAAGAGAGGAAGAAAGCTGACTGATTGTGTACAGTAGATGAAGAGGACGCTTGCGCGGAGCCCGGACGGGCAGTGCCACTGGAGCCCGGCGGTTCAGAGCTTCGCCCGGGACGTCGGGACGACGAGCACCATACCCACCCGAAAACGTTTTCATGTTCTGAACGCGATTCTTTCAAGCTCGTCGCTTGTCTTCATTAATTCGTTTTCAGTTACGTATTTATATCCATACTCTTATCGAAACTGTTTTATCAATGACTTTTTTATTATTCAAAAAAATACCTATAGACAATATTTAAATGTTTGATAGAAGAAAGATTAAGAATAATAAAAAAATAATTGTGAAACAATCATAATAATAATCATCATCATTTTAAGAAAAAGACGAAGAAGAAAAAGATAATAAGTAACATAGAAAGCAAGAAAGCAAAAAGATAACTTGTCTTGGATTATGTGATTGGTGTAATTGGATAAAATAATTTAAGGGTGGTTGTGAGTAATGATGTGGATAACCGGTTGATATTGAAAATAACGTTGAAGCGAGGAAAGAAAAAAAAAAGTGACGGCTAGTGGTGAAGGAAATGTGCCGAAGGTGGAGCGCGCACTGAGATGATAGTCCAGCCATGGTCCTCGTCGTTACCATGAGGACTTCTTCCTACATTAACTATTATGTGCTTTGTCTTGTCTGTTGGATTCTTCTTGGAATCACCGGTAAGGGGAAATGATGTTGTGATACCTAAAAGATTGATTATCATGAGATTTACGTATAGTGGGTTGAAGCAAATATGCGGAAATAGGGAGTCTGTGATTTCAAGTGTACCCAACTGGAGGAGGGAAAATGTTGTTATGTGTATGCTCTTAAATGTTTAATACTGATTTAGTAATGTCTTGTATTAATCTCAAACTTGATTAATGCAACTTGGATCTATTTGTGGAAAGTGGATACTAAGGTCAGGAGTTTAATGTAGTTGAGGATCAATAAGATCCACTTTTGACCTCTGACGTTGTTCAAATTTAATTCAAAAATATTTATTTATATTATTTTTGATTTATTCTTTAAAATAATTGCGTTAAAAATTCAATCAAATAAATCTGTCAATAAGTAGTTGATGATATTAATGATTTATTATTGTTGAAAAAGATAATTTTTAATGTCTAAATGATAAAAAGGTACTGGGGCAGAGAATTGAAATGATATTTCCACTTGCAGAGAGGTATAACGAAAAGAAAAGAAAGAAAAAAAAAAGGAAAAACGAAACGATTAGAAGATACAGAGATAAAAGCACTCGACAGATTTAGGTCGAGAGTGTGTAGTTGATGTTCCAGTTTTACAGAGAATGTTTCCCGAAGAAATGTAGATTAAAGATTCATAGATAGTAATTTTAAATGATAATAGTAATATTATTATTACGAATATATATTTGTTTAAAAGAACAAATGTTATTTGATAAAAAAAATTATTTCAATAAAATTCTGATCGTATTCATACATCTTTTATGATCAAAGTCTTTGCAAACAATTTAGAAATTCTGAATCATCAGTTGCACCCTCTGGCGTCCGTGCTCTCACTTGTCTTCCATATCCGGAACTCTTCTGATCCATGATTAAATGGAAACCATCGACGACTTTACTGTCGATCGTACCAATTGCAAATGGTTTGACCCAATATCAAATACTGATATTCTTCTTTTTATTCCACACACTTTCTATCGTGCACATCCTCACCCTTCAATTTATTACACTATACCATTATTTTGCTACTGCATAAAACATGGTATACATTTGATCACAGATTTCATTTTTCCCTATGTTTTGCTTCTTTTGCGTGTAATTTCTACCACGATAAAATTTTACTTTGTTCATCATGCTCTGATAAAGACTAAATAAATGTTGGAATTTACAAGAACAAACGTGACACATATTGCTATTATACATAATACTTCTTAGACATTAAAATGAATTATTTTTATTCTAGTAAAATAAGAAATTAATCTTTAAATTAGGAATACATATCAAATTTTAATTATCATTAATGGATTGATTATTAATATATTACTAATTTAGGAAGTACTTATGTTTATTAAATTTATTTTTGAAATTTGGGATATTATATTAGTAAATACTAACTTTATGTAGCTTGAAAATTTATGAATATTCATTTCTCTTAAATTGGTATAATTTTGAAATAGATAGCATTGATTATCTTTAGAATCTCAATTAATAATTATTAACAAACGATATTGATTATTTAATTTTATACACAAATGTCTGTATGTAATGATGAATTTTATATTTAACACTGCAAATCCAAGTGTGTTATTCTCGTAGACACTTTTTAAATGTCATATACAAACTATAAATTTTCCACACACTTTTGAACACTTTATGCGTGTTATTTTAATACGTTTAAATTGGCAATGAACTCTCTCATAATGCATTGTTATAAATAAACAAAAATATTCTTAATTAAATAATAAATTATTATTAAGACAATTAATGTCTATTATATTTGAAAATTTTTAACAAAATAATCTAAATATTTTTTATTACAATAACAATTTCACAAATTGCAATTATTTTTGATATTGTAAATTTCAACATAAATTTAAGAGTAGTTATCGTCATTCTATTATTATTATTATTATTATTATTATTCTGATAATACTTGAAAAATCAATGAAATCAAAGTGACCTTGTTTTATCAGTCTGGAAGTAAATTAATTATTCAAGATCGATAAATTTTCTCATGTATACTTTTCACCATTTTTTATGATAATTAAAAAAACAGAAATAAAACATGTGATAAACTATAAAGTTGAATGTATTTTTATAATCCAAAAAATACATTTATCACTTTAATCAATCTAAATAATAATAAGAGAAAAAAGGATTTCATTTCTATAATCATTCAATTTTGTCAAATATACTTTTCAATCACGAAAAATAAATTCTAATACTGATGGAGTGATTTTCAATTTAATTGGGTTAATAATAATTCTACAATCTCAATTATATCATATTCAATTACAAATATTTAATCATTATAACGTTTGTCATTATTAAGTGTCATTTTAGTACACTCATTAAGTTCAAAAACAATTAATAATTTAATTAATGTTTTCCTTTTTTTTGCAGGAGTAAGCACGAGATCATACTCACTAGTGAGAAGACACGCGGGTATATATCAGGGTCCATATTTCGACGAACATAGTCCAAAAAATTGTACAGCACAATTGGGGACAAATACTTTTTTACCTTGTAAAGTCCGTCAACTTGGGAATAAATCGGTATGTCAATTTACATACAAATATATTTTATTTAGATATAAAAATGATTCTCAATCTTTATGTCGACCTTTGTCATCATTCTTCAACTAAAATTACTTCTTCGTCAAGACACTCGACAGTCTTATCTTTATTATCCAATTCTTCTCTTTCCCGGAAGTTAAGACTTGATGTCTTCCAAACTCTCCTCACGTTCTTGAGTTATAACGACGCTATTTTCTCTCAGACATTATGCGTCTGCGCAAACTACTCAAATTATTAAGTAAACTTTTGACATTGTTGACAATGAAAAAATGTCTAGTTTTTTAAATTTGTTTCATATTTTTTATATCATCATCATCATGATATATTATAAATAATTGGATGACGAATCTCATTATCATATTAATGGCATAAATGCTTCTAATGAACTTTTACGATTCTTTTTAAGATTCATATCGAATGAAACGTTTTTAGAGTAGTAAACGTAGTACATCTATGAAAAAAACGATGTTCATTAAAAAAAATGATTAGCAGTGTATAAAGATTTTCAATAGATTTTTATTTATAAATAAAAATAAAAATAGAATTAAATTTATTGTGAACAAGTAATATTTTTTTTAATAATAACATCAAAATTTTGAATAGTTGCAATAAAATATTTTTTTAGAGTTTACATTTCTAAAGATTCAACTCTGATGTTCACTCAAAAATAATAAATTACTTATACATATTAATTGTGCTTAATTATTTTGAATATAATAATTATCTGAGTATTGATTTTTTCTAATATTTAATTTTTTTATTAAGATCCATGGTATCTAAGAAAGTAAGAATTAATGTCACTTGTATTTAAATTAATGATAAAAATCTTGGACCAAACATCAAAATAAATCTCATTAAATTCAATAAAATATTTAATTGCAAATATTTCAAACTAATAAAGTGTGTTCAATGTAAAATATCCATGTTCAGTGTAAAAAGTGTCTATAAAAATAACACACCAGGATTAACAGTGATATATTATGAAAAATATATTATTAATATATAAATTAAAAAAAGTGATTTATAGATTTTATTTAAAGATTGGATGTAAGATACTAGAAAGTACATGTGACATTAAGGAAGTTGACAAGTTTGAACATGGAAAAATTGTTTTCCTAATAAAAAGAAATCAACAGAAAAGAAAAAGTCCTTGACGATAAGATCCGTTTTGGTTTAGGGTTTATCCTGTGATAGGGAGTGTAAGTCAAAAGACACTCGATTTTTCGATTAGTTTTCCAGATAAATTTCCGTTTGCCCTAGTTTTCCCTATCTTTCATAATACACAACACATTGATAAACGGAGTTTAATAGTCATAAATTAGATGAATGCCTTATACAGGAAGATGGTGCTGAAAGTTGATCAATAAACAAAATGTTTTTGAAAAGGTCTTGACTAGCATTAACTTGTCTGCTAAAGTGCGCAGTCTTGACAACTTACCAAAATGCTGTTCGTCACTTCGAGAAGTACTGGAATTAATTTTCTTGGCATACGATTCTGGCAAAGAGGAAGCCAACTAGAACTGTGTGCTCGACACCAGAGCACATCTTGAACAAGTTGCTTCAGTCCCTCCTATTTCTCTTATTCGTACTTTACCCTTGTCTTGTCTGTACTTTCCACTTTCAGGCATATAGTACAAGGTGGCTGCAATTGCAAATGATATGGCAATTAAATGAAAACTTTTTGTGCTGAGTGCAACGACTTTTGTGAATACGTATATGTATCTTTATATCTACATATATATTTTATTAAGAAGAAACGATCGCGTGACGATGTATATAGTATGATTATATATACTGTGACAACGTTGATCCTTTTAATATAATTTTGACCAATTTGAAATAGTTCCAAGTCAACTAATTATTCTCGCTCATTTATTTGTTCGACTTATACTCAAGAATCACGATTCAGGAGAACTTTACTTGCTCCTAACACGTATTTTATCCTTAATTATTTTGCCTCGAGTGGCTTTTTTTTCTTTTTTACTCTGATGGAAGATAGTGTGACCTTTGCCCTAGTCCACTAATATAAACTCATGGAATTTAGTACTTGGATACCGGCAAAATGTCCAACAGCACGCGAATTATGATAATTACTGCAAGCGCTTGTTCGCAAGAGGATAAAAGGGGTGGGTACTCTGATTCTATCTAGAATCTCATAATGAAATGTCGGTGAATAGTGGCCACAAAACTCGTGTATCCGTAAACTTGATGACATAAATGCCTCTCTCAAGCTATAAGTGACGACTCAATTACAGAAATTACTTCCGTTTGTGATAATAAATACTTTTAATTATAATTACACATATTCATCAGTTATTTCAATTTATATATATCTATCATTAGTTAATCATTTTATCGCCATCATGACATTTCATCTAATCTTCTTTATTCATTACCCTCATCAAGGTTTCATGGATAAGACGAAGAGACGCACATATTCTGTCAGTTGATAGGATCATGTTCATCGCTGACGAGCGTTTTCAGACTATATACGTTGATGGATCGGACACCTGGACTCTTGGGATCAAATATGTTCAAGCAAGAGATGAGGGCGAGTATGAATGTCAGATATCTACTGAGCAAAAGATGAGCCACACTGTATATCTCAGTGTCATCGGTATGACATCTAATTGTTTTATTTATTATCATTTTAATGAAATAACTAATCAATTTATTCTTTCAGTGCCAAAAATTGAAATAATGGGTGACCAAGAACGACATGTAAAGACTGGAAGTACAGTAACATTGCGGTGTGTCATCAATCAATCAGTAGAAGCACCATCATATGTATTTTGGTATCACGACGACAGTCGAGTATTGAGTGATCAATATGGAAAAGTTTCTATTCATCCTCCAGAACGAACGGAAAATGGATTTGATAGTGTACTCACTATCCATAATGCTAAACTTGAAGATTCGGGAAATTATACGTGCAGTCCAAGTAATTTAGACAGTGCAAGTATCCATCTTCATGTGCTCAATGGTGAACATCCTGCAGCTATTCAACGAGGAATAAGTGCAGCACCTGGAGGTTGTCGAGCACTTTGGTGGCTTGCAGGGTCTGTCAGTTTGTCTTCTAATCAAGGCAAACGTATATTTGTCCTTATTATCCTTCTCATTATGGTCCTTATTACCAATCCAAGATCAATTCAATTAGGATATGCTGTGACACGATAATCATTCAGTCCTGCTTATTCCTCTTGCTTGAAGAAACCTGAGGACTTGCCCGCATACTAAATTTGCTATTAATTTTATTTTTCCATCAACGCCCCCGATTATTATTTATTTATTATTATTTCAATAGATCCTGACTGTGATTACTTGATAAGTGCATGTTGGAGACGATTAATATTGAATCAAATCTGAGAAAAAAAAAACGTCATAAAAGATATCATCTTGGTGGTGATTAAATCAATTCACCTCAGCACAGACTTGTCCAAAAAGTCTTCCCGAAGTTATATTTGCTCACGAACAACCCAAGTTGCCATCGATTTTACTATTAGGCGCGACGAGCTTCCGCTCCCCACTGGGGTATTTCAATTCGTCTACACTTCCTTTAAGGAAGACTCCTCCCCCGGTGTTCCACAAACTCAAGTGGCATTACAACGGTACGGACTCCTGTAAATTTCATTACTACATCAAGAAACTTAATATCTTACATATTGCATTTTGATTTTGCATATTAAATATTATTGATCAACAATCATAAATTGTTTATTCCATATTTTTATATACTTTAATTATTTTTTAATATAATTAATAATGACTACATCAGTTTAAACATTAAAAACGGTAACAAAGAAATATGAATATTTCAAAATAATTACAAACTAACAAATACTTTTCGATAACATCAAGATATATTTTTTGGTGAGTTTATTTATTATTATTATTATTTATTTATTTAATTATTTTTAGACTTGAAAATTACGTAATAATTTAAAAATAATTGTTTCAAAAGATCTTTTCTAAAAATAATTTATATTATTAAAAATTTATTTGTTAATTCTAAAAACATTATTGAAAAGTATTAATAATATTCATATTTAATAAATCTATAAATGTTTTCTTGATATTAATTTTTGTTTTAAATTATAAAAAATTTGCTATTGATTAGTAACTGACTTGATTTCTATAAATATAGAGTCGTTTAAAAATAATCCGATTTTTTTTAAACATTTTCTACAGTGATTATGAGTATGATAATGAAATAAATTAAAATGGATAATAGTGGATCAATTAATAAAAGATATTTGATTTATGAATAAACTGAGAATTGTATAAAAAATAATAAGTAATCGTCCAAAGAGAAGTAAGAAATAATTAAAGGCTGTTTAGTAGATCAAAGCAAAAAAAAAGAAAAAGAAAGAATAAAGTAATTTATTTATAAATAAAAATGTTGCCGTTTATACCGGGGGCGTTTTTAGAGTTTATGTATAAAATTGATACTATCACGTGAAAATTATAAATAATATCTTCAACTTCACGTATACGTTAATCTTAATAATGATACACGATATACAATCGTGAATATTTTAAATAAATTTCACCAAAACTAGGTCCTGTAAATCGTCAAAAGAATTGAAACTTGTTCGATAAAAGTTAAAGATAATAACAATGAATGCAGTTAGATGAATTCTATTTAAAGAAAAATATTATTAAATAAATACTAAAATTGTGATGTATTCACTCGACGTCTAATGTGCCTGCTCATAATCTTGACTATGTGGAAGATTAAAATGAAATAAATTAATCAACTCCTAAATCAGACAATCAAAAGACACTAGAGATAAACTATAAATTCAGTGTTGACATTCACTTAATTCAATCAATTTATCGTATCAAAAGTAGTATATATTTTATTTTAAAATTAAATTATAATTTATTTAATAAATTGAAAGATAATTATATTTTTTCATTTCAAATGAAGGATATCAATAATTTAGATGATTAAATTGATTTTTATAACAAAATAAACCATTTCAGTAGATATTTTGTGACAAAATAATGTGGTACACTGAGAAAAAATTTTTATTGTGAAGAAGTTATATTTTTTTTTAATAATGGTGGTCAATAATTAAATATTTACAATTACAACTTATTGATTGGTTTGTTGTAACCAATTTATTTAAGTTACTTTTAAGATAGATTGGGGTAATATGGGATAGCTAATGCATTCTAAAATACTTTGGATAAGAGTTTAAATACACTGAGTAAAAAATTTACTGTGAACAAGTGATATTTTTCTCAACTAATAAAATTAAAGTTATGAATAGTCGCAATGAAATATTTTATTTGGAGTTGACATAGTAACATTTTTATAGATTCCATTCTGATGGGTATTTACAGTAATAAATTGTTATTGTACCAGATTATTTTGAACATAATTATCTAAGTATTGATTTATCTTTATTTTTTTTTTTATGATCCATGGTGTCTTAGATCTAATTTTCGAGAGTGAGAATTAATCTAATATCACTTATATTTAAATTTATTATCATCTTGAACCAAATATCAAATATAATAAAATATTTTATTGTGAATATTTCTAATTCTTTTTATTGATTAAATAAAAATTTTTTTATATAGCAAAAATTTTTATCTCAGTGTATAAAAAATTGTCAACACTGTGCGGATAGGTTCCGACAATAATATGTAATACTAATCTCTTATAAATTGTAAACTTTTGATTGTCTGATCTCACGTACTTGGCTACTTATGAGTTGAGAAGACAAAAAAATGCATATATATTTATATGCAATCCATATCTTGAGATAATGAGCAAAAACGTGGTCGAAATTCATAGTAATTGAGTGTATACATCCTACAGTATTATTATACCTACTTATATAAAATCAGCTTTTTACGTTACTTTCTATATACATATTTAATAAGCGTCCGTAAATACAGAATCGAGGGAGACCGTCCTCATTTATTGACAAATATGCCGTGTAGTTATCACAAAAACAATGAATATGAATAAATGATGGTAAATACATTACTATTGAAATTTAACATACGTAATGTGCTTGATAGAATAATCTTTCAAGCAGAGTAAACTGCAAACGATTAAGTTTTCTCTTTGTTGCTCTATTCATATTTACCAAATGTCTAGAGCAAACGTATCGACATGGAGGCAATGTCAATATGCGTATGCATATTATTTTTCATGCTCGCATATTTTCATCTCTAATTTCGCAATTTGCGAATTTTAAAATAATTATAGGTAAAAAGAAAAAAATCATGAATTGATATATTTGTTATTTATTATGTATTATATGATGAAAAAATGGTACAGATATTGGAAATTGAACAAGTTTCAGCTCGAATAAAACGAAAGAAGAATATTCATTAGCGTAACGATTAACTAAATGATAGATTAATATATGTATATATAATTATTTTTTATTTATTTATTTATTTTTTTTTTTTTTTTCATAATTTTTATTTTTCATTTCTAATTAAAATTGAGCGGGGAAACGAAAATCTATTATCCTCAGTGAAAAATAAAATAAAACAAGCATTATAAAATGAGGATTAATCAATAACAAGGATAAAATATAAGAAATTATGTACGAATGATATTAGAATACTTATGATTCATGTGATTGTCTGTAAATAATATATAGTATAAATACATAATGTTAATAATTATGATATGCCGTATGTGTTAAATTAACTCAAGTTACTGTGTAATTTCTGAATCATATTAAAAGAAAAAAAACAAAAAAAATACACATTTGGAAAAAAAAAAAAGTAAAATTAAATTGAAATAATTGTCTGGCCGCTTGTGCTAACTGATAAATGTAAATTATTATAAATAATTGCGCGACTGATGATTATTCAGAAGCTTTAATATTTAAATTATCTTGTTAATTAATTATTATAAAAAATTATTTTAGTAGTAATGAAAGTTAAAAAAAAAAAAAGAATAAAACATCAAAGTTTATTGTTTGAATATTTTATTTATAATATTTGATATATTCTGAATAAAAAATAAATATAATAATTTTATTTATTATTATTTAATATGAGATAAATAAATAATCTGTAAATGATATTTTAAACAAAAAGCTCAAAATATTTTGTATTAATATATTTCATTATTTTATTTCAGCTTTGTCTAGTTACGTAAGAATTTGATAGACTTAAGTAATAAAATTAAAAAGAAAAAAATCTAAGTAATTAAAGACGTGATTAAAGATAGCACGAGCAGGCCACACACGCTAGATGTAATACTAATTAATGCATAGTGATAAGATTTGAAGAATAACTTGAAAAAAAAAAAAATACAATGATTGCTAAGTGAAAATTGTCCGATAATTATTAACCGAAGTGTGACAGTGCTAAGAGACCGATTAGTTGACAAAAAATATTAATAAGTTCGTTGGTCTGACGTTGTAAAACGTTGGTCGAATGACGCATTCCAATCGAAATAAAGGGGTGACATAGACTATTTATTTATATATATATTTTTTTTTGGCCAGAACTTCCCCTTCTTACATATCCAAGTGATACACTAAATGGGATAATTATTAAAATTATCTCGTCTTTTAATTCAAATTTTAGTATTATGTAAGAAATTATGGAAGCTCAATAATGTCTTTGTCATTCCTTTGATAATGTATAAATATTTATGTATATATATTTACTAAAATATATATATATAAAAAAATCATTAAATCATTGGTCTAGAATATTGTAGAAGCATTAAATTTTTGTACCAATGTCTACTGTAGTAATTTAATATTATTTCACATACACAATCAACAAGAGTTAAACTTAAAATCATTCCCAACTATTGATCTACATATATAGATAGTTTTTTTTCTCATACCTCTGCTCAAAGTTAAAGTTTGCTCCCTGTTTTCAGGTCGCAAAGTGACGTTTTCTATCCCACTAGCATGAAAAGACAACAAATCGTCTGTGCGCATGCCCAGACGGATGTATTTCTCTGTGAGAGAAAAAACGTCACTTTTCCAACCTCAAAACTGACAACAAACTTTAATTTTAGACGATTAAATGATAAAAAATAGTATGTTGGTCATGGAAACAAAGTAAGATATCCTGACGTTGGTGTAAAATTACATCCAAAGCCGAAGGCGAGGGTGGTTAACACCCAGGTCAGAATGTCATACTTTGCTCCCTTGGTTAATAAACTGCTATTTTTTATTTTAATTTCAACTACATAATGAAGACTAATGAATTTTTTTTTTTAACATTTGTATAATTCATAAAATGTAAAAAAAAACCAAAATTGTTATGATCATTGATTATTTATTTAATTGTACTACGATGTTATTTGTTTAATTAGTTGACAAAAAAATTTTTAATAATTGTATTTATTTGTAATTGCTTTTCCTCCCTCATACAAAATTCCTTAACGTTATTTCGTATCCAAAAAAGATACGAATTTACGTTGGAATTTTAACCAGAGATAAAAAAATATTTTTTTTCGAGTGTAAAAATGTACGCCGAAAAAAAAAATTCTAGTCAAACTTCGAGGTAAAGAAAAAGATTAATTTGATTCAAATGGTGATAATAATAATATAACAATAAAGACAAAAACCAAAACAATAGTATTGTTAATAAAACTCGACAATAGTCGTTTCATTTAGATGACGATTAGTCGAATAATATAATCCACATACATACAATACTCACATACTGATTCGAACGTTTGACGAAAGTAAAAAATATATAATTATGCAAAATAAATCCAACTGAAATGTGCAAAAAAAAAATATTATAAAAATTTTGTCGAACGAGCGAATAAGATATGATATGGTATAGTGATGTAATAATATTGATAACAATAATATTTAATGAAAAAAAGGAAAAAAAGAAAAAATTAAATGTAACAGAAAACCTCGAAGATGCCTTGTCTCGCGGATTCTTAAGAGGAAATATTTATAAAATCCATTGTCGAATCCGCGAAATGATGCTTAGATGAGCGGAGGAGATACCAAAAATTATATAAATTGTGAATGATGATTTAATGAATGAATTTAAATGATTATGATGTGGATGAAAGGTTAGTGAACATTTTAAAGATAAATAAAATGTTGATAATCATGCATTCGCTGATAAAAACAATACTCCGTTAATAGCATTTGCATGTATAAAAATATTGAACTTGAGTTGAAAAAATTTTTTTATTTTGGTAAATGTGTGGAATAAATTTGTTTTGTACAATTTACACTTTAACATTGGGCCTGCACGCGAATTATTAAGTCCATGTCGCGATAAATAATAATAATTGTTTATAATTATTAAAGTGATTTTTAAAGACTAAAAATGCCTGAATGTAAGGTGTGATTTAATTCATTGAATATTCAACATTAAAAACAAACTATTTACATACCATCGAATTTTTGTTTTAAACTATTTTGTGACATCAATGGGTAGAAGAACGAACCCTGTTATATGTGTGTAAGAATCATAATGCTTAATGAAAGAACATTATACTATGAACTTACGGGATACTAAATAAAAGTAAACCAAACCGTTGATGATGTTATCTTTACCCTTCAAACTCTGATTTTATATATAATTAATAAACAGTTATATATTAATAATTTAATATTACATTTAAATAAATACTTGATTGAAATTACAATTATTCGTATGTATAAAATTGATTAATTGAAATTAATAATACTTATTCAAACTTTTTATTTTTATCTCGAATCATCATACAATTTCTAATAATTCTTTGGAATAAAGTAAGATAAAAAGCTCCAACAAGTCTTAATGGACCCATTAATAACAGTTGTATAAGTAGTTCATAAATTGATGTAAATGGGGACATTCCAGCACAAAGTGTAGTCAATATAAAACCATCAAATCCAGTTGTTGAAAAAAATTTACAACTTAAGGCATCATTAAATAACTTTTGTGCAACTAAATCAGGACTAACTAAAGTAGAGGAAGAGTTTGTTATGAGTTTTGTTTCAAGAGGTTTTGATAATTCTTCAACTGCAAAGCCTGGAGTGTCAGTATCTGGAGGCAGACATAAAGTCACCGAGACATTATATGCAGTTAATTCCATTTTTATACTTTCAGCGAAACCTCGAAGAGCAAATTTGGTGCTACAGTAGGCAGAGTATCCAAAAATACCTGCATAATATAAATATTAATAGAAGATTGTTCATGAAAATTTTTTTTCAAGGTATTTCGATTACTTTGAGCCATATAAAGACACAAGACCCTTTGAAATAAAATTAATACATTAATATATTTGAATGAATGTTAAAGGACCAAGTCTTGTGAAAGAAGAGTGAATTTTGATTCCGAATAACTCGAGTTCCAAACGATTAATCGATTCTTTTTATTAAAACAAAGGTTTTATTTGCAAAAATCTTGCATTCTAATAAATTAAAAAAAAATCTTAAGCAAAAATTAATTTCAATCGAAATACCTTAACTTTGTGATACATAATAATAATATCAAATAGATAATTCTTTACCCAAAAGAGCTGCTTGAGACGATACAATAACGATAATTCCATCTTTTGAACTCTTCATTCGTGGAATGACTGCTTTAGTACAGTAATAAGTTCCCATGAAATTGAGATTCATCATCCACTTTAAATTCTCTGGAGTAGTATCTTCAATTTTACCACAAATTGCAGTACCAGCACAATTGACAAGCATATAAATAGGGCCCATTATCTTCACCAGATCTGACAATGCCTTCTCAATAGCTTCGTAATTGTCACTTATATCTAGAGACAGGTATTCGATTTTCTGAGTATTACGATTCTTGCATGCATTGAATATCTCATCACGAGCACTCTCAAGTTTTGGAATATTCCGCGCAATTATTGTCACATGCGCACCACTCTTAGCGGCGAGTAAAGCAATGGATTTACCAATGCCACTTGATCCTCCAGTTATCTGAAAATAATGACAAGTTTTAAAACATATTCTCCACTTGATTACATTTAATAATAAAATTATTATGATCATCATAATAAATAATAAAGACATTAGTTAATTGAGTTATTCTTACTACAACATGCTTGCCATCAACACTTTTCACAGGACGCCGGAAGAAATATTGTTTTATCAACAAAAGTAACAGAATTATGCCGGTGATGACTAAACTATTAAATAACCACGCCATTATATTATACAATAAGTATGTATAAAATAGTGAAATCAAATGATAGCCTTATTAAAAGTAATTATTATTATACTTATGAAATTGGTTCAAATAAATCACATGAAATAAAACAATAGTAAGTTGATAAGTTGTCACATCGATTTCATGTCTCCTTTATTTATGATGGCATTTAGAACTACAGCGCCTTTAGTTTCCAAAATCAACACTGTTTTGAAAAGTAAAAACTTTTAAAAGATTAAATCATTATTAATATAATTAAAAAAAAGCAAACATTTAAGTATGTATAATTTTTTTAATAATCATAAAAAAAATAATTCTTCATAACTTTCAGTTGAATTGTTAATAAAAACATAAAATTACAAAATTTATTGTTATTTATTGTATAATTATAGATGGATTTTTTTACTGATTTTAACTAAAAGTTTATTCTGTTTATTATACAAACGTGTTTGTAAAAACTTAATAGATGATAATCAAATAAATAATATTCAATAATTTAGTTTTCAATAGCAATAGGTTCAGCTTCCATTGATTCATTGTCAGAATCTTCCATTGGTTCATCATGCTCTTGATTATCAGCAATTGTTTTTCTTTCTTTAAGACCAGCAGCTGGAGATTTAATGAGTGACAAATCTCTTTGTACTTCTTTGATATCTCTCTCTTGTTCAAGTTCTCTTCCTTTCCTTAATCTCTGCATGATATGTGTATTAACCCTTCTTTGTCGAATAGATTCAACTTTTTTCATTGCTTCTATCGTTTTAGACCAAAGCTGTCTATCGTATTTAACAGGAATATTGCGTTTCTTTTCAAAATCAAATGCTGGATCCACTGCAAGCTCTTTTCCAACTGTTTTCCTATATGCTTTTGTCCATCTTGTTCTCCTTGGATTTTTCTTTTTCTTAAATGCTGCATGACATTTTGATCGACAAAATTTGAATATCTAAACAAAAAAATATATATTTAAATTAATAAATGATTATTCTTAAGAATAGTCACATGGTCAAGGAAAAATAACAAATTTGTATAATTATTTACCTTACAATCATTTCTTACAAATTGGATTCCATGTCCTGGATATATTCGTGAGGAACAAAAATAACACGTTTCAATACGCATTTTTAACTAATATGTAATAATATTTATATTTTTACTAACAAAACTATTTTATAACCTCTATACAAATATATGTACACCTCTCAAATGTATTGAATACAGTTATTAAAACACATGTGGTGTAATTGTAAAAGTTTTTATTGAATAGTCGAATAGTTGTCACTATAAAAGTAGGAAATAAATAGTACAATCCAATTATTTTAACTATACCTCAAGTACCCAACTATACATGTATGCCAGAATAGAACAGCAGCGCTACCTGATGGTCAAATAGTTTATCGTAAATATGTACAAAATGAAGCATTCGAATGTACATTTATGCACTATTATGATTATATTATCATAGCATTCGTAATATGCGCAGAGTTTTTGCCAGTGAATTAGCGCAGTTTTATAAATTATTGTGACGCTGAATTAATTATTTTTAAACTATTGGAATCAGTGATAATCATTGGATAATTTTTTTTCTTATATATTTTTTTTTTTAAGTTTAAAATTAAACAAACATAAAAATAAATTACGGTAAAATTCTAATGTTATGAATTTAATTGTACGTTGAAAGCCAACGCGAGTGTTTTAATAAAAACCCTTTATTATTTTGATTCCAACAAAAACTATAACTAATGACTAGTGTCTTCCATTAATAATGATTTTTTATTATAACAATTATTATGGTGGTTTTATATTTATTTTACTAAATAAAAATCCATAACCCATCAACTGATCAAATTATTTGTGTAATAATGGTGAATTTTTCCTATCAAAATACTATCCAATTTTAATTGAAGTACAAAAATGGCGTCCTCAGAAATCGATGATTTTTTAACAGGACCTCTCGTCACTTGGGTAAATAATATCAAATAATTATATCAATCATTTTACTTTGAGACTAATTAAATAAGTAATTTTTTTGTGTTGTTTGTTTATAATTATTTCAATATTTTCAAAATACTACTTTAATTATTTACTCATTTATTTATTAATTAATTATTAAATTTATTTAAATAGTTCACCAGTTGCCTAGAAGATCCTGAAGCTTTATCTAATTACAATGACTTAGTTGATGGAATGCTTCTTCACAATGTCTTTCTTCAAATGTAAGTGATATTTATATCTTTAATAAAATATCAACATCAATAACAAAATGTTATTAATTATAAATGTTTTCTATTTAATTATAGTGATCCTGAACCTCTACATGATGGAGTGATACCTAGCTGTAATAATATTACTATTCGAACGAAAAATTTAGAAATGATTATTGGAAATATAAAACAATTTTATGAAGAAGAGCTGGGTCATTTAGTAATCAAACTTCCAAATACAACGAATTTAGGAAAAAATCCTGAATTACATGTTCAAGATATGAATTTATTACTTATGTTATTGTTGGGGTGTGCTGTTCAGTGTCCAAATAAGAAAAATTTTATAACAAAAATCAAAATGTTGAATGTTGATACACAATTAGCCATTGTAGATTGTATCAAACAAGTAACAGATTGTCATGATATCGTTATAACTCAAGATTCAATGGATAATTCTAATCTACCAAATCTATTTAAACAGATAAAATTATTGTTACATGAGCGAGACTTTTATTTTGAAAAGTGGAAAGTATTATCAACTAATGAGATGACTGAGCCTAATAATGCAACATCAAAGGATACTGATAATGGTAAAATTCAGCAACCAAATTCTATTATTAAATCTGATAGGGAAGAAAATCATCATTATGCTGTTGAATTGGCTGATTGGAAATCAAAAGTAAGGAAACAAAGACAAGAATTGGAAGAAAAAACGGAAGCTTTGTTAGAATGTAAAGAAGAATTGGAGCACAGTAAGGCATCAATAGCTAAGTTAAAGCAAGAAAATCAAGAATTAATGCATGAAGCTCGAACAGCTAAATCTTATAGAGATGAATTAGATGCGGTGATGGAAAGAGCAGAAAGAGCTGATAGATTAGAAATGGAAGTTGCACGTTATAGAGAAAAATTGACAGATATTGAATTTTATAAGACACGTATTGAAGAGTTAAGAGAAGATAATCGAGTATTAATGGAAAATAGAGAAATGCTTGAAGAGCAATTGAGTCTGTCAAGAAGACGAGCTGATAAAGTTCTTGAACTGGAAGCTGAAATTATAGAATATAAACAACTTCTTAATGATATTGCACTTGAAAGAGCAGCAGAAAAAGAAAAATTTCAAGAATTATCTGAAGAAAATTTTCAATTACATAAATTAAAAAAAGCTGCTAATGATGAGGCAATAAGAGCTGCTAATTCTATTGGTGAATCAGAAGAATCAGTGACAAGTGATAATAGGTTATCAGAACAGTTAACTAATAATGCACAAACCAGAGCATTAAAATTAGAATTAGAAAATCGTCGTTTAATGGCTTTAGTTGATTCTTTAAAAGAAAATTCATTTCATGAATCATCTTCACGCTTATTAGAACTTGAAAAGGACAAAAAAAAGTTATCTTTAAAAATTGAATCATTGACTGACACTAATGAGAGACTTATTCAACAAAACACAGACTTGGAATCAGTTTGCAAACAAGCTTTAGAAGAAAACAAAAAACTTCAAAATACTTTGAAAAATCAAAGAACTTCTTTTGAACGACAACAACAAGACTATCAAGCACAACATACAAAAATTATAGAGATGGAAAATAATTATGAAACAATTGTCAAAGAGAAGCAACGTTTACAATCTCTATTGGAAAGTGTTCAAAGACGAGCAGATGAATTAGATCACTCTCTTGAAATATCAAATAAAAAAATAGAAGAGCTTAAAGTAATGGAAGAAAAAGTTAAAACTGCTGAAACAAAGTGCATTGATTTAGAAACAAAAATAATGACTCTCGAAAAAGATAAAGAGACAGCTATTCGCGATATTCATAAATATCGTGAAGCTTTAGAGGAAAAAGATGTTGCTCTTGATGAATCGATGAATAAAATTGAAAATTTAGAAAAAAAAATTTCCGAACTAGATAGACAAATTAATTATTCAGTGTCGCAAATATCACGTCTTCAGGAAATTGAAAGATCAAGTAAAGAATTAGATTCAAGAGCTGCTATTGATAAAGAAACATTAGAAACATTACAATCAAATTTAATAGCTGAAAAAATGAATACACAACAGTTACAAGCAGCTTTAGAAAAACTTGGATTAACTGTTGATTGCTTACTTACACTTTCACCAGAAAATATTACTGAAAAACTCGTAAATCTTCCTAATATTGCTCAACATATTAATAAATTAATTACGAATATTGAAAATTCTAAAAATAATCAAGATATTTCACAATTAAAAGAAAAAGATTCAACTGATAATTTACCAACAAGAAAACAATTACAAGAAACAGTAGAAACTTTAAAAAAAGAAATGGAAAATTTGCAAAGTAAGTTGAACACTAGTGAATCGACTGCTGAAAATCTTCTAGAAGAGCAAGCGAAACTTCAAGTATCCGTTACGACTCTTCAGTCGAAAATTACATCTTTAAATGCTCAGTATACTGCCTTACAACTGGCAAACTCTCAACTTGTTGCTGAAAAAGAAGAACTATTAAGAGATCGTGAAATTCAAAAATGTACTCATCAACAATTAATTCAGGATCAAGTAACTTTACAATCTCTGCATGAACAACTGAATAATGAATATGAAAATCTCCTTCAAGAACGTGAAACATTAAAAACTAACTTGAGAGATACGAAAAATAATTTAAGAACTCTAAAAGAAAATAGTGAGCAAATCGAAGGAAAAAATAAAATTCTTATAGCAGAGCAAGAAGTTTCATCGAATAATATTAAAAGTTTGAATAATTTAAGAGGAGAACATTCTAAATTGAAAGATGATTTTCGTAATTTATATACTGCGACAGAAAAATTAAAAGCTGAGTATAGAAATTTACAAGAAGATTATAAAAAAAATAAAGTTGAAACCAACCGATTAAGTCTTAAGTTAACTGAATTACAAGGTGAATTAAGTCTTAAAGATGAATGTTGTTCTAATTTAGAGCTTCAAAACAGTAAACTAAATCAACGTTGTGAAATGTTGATGCAAATGAATTCTGGATTAGATAATAATAGACGCTCATTGATGGATCATGTAAGTGTACTTTTAAATAAGTATCAAGATCTTTTATCACATTCTTTAGAAGATAAAGAACACTATCATATGGAAGAAAAAATTTATCGTGATCAAGTAAATCATTTGTCACGTCAGAAAGAAAAACTTGAAGAAAAAATAATGGAATACTATAGAAATAAACAAAGTTGTTCAACAAACAAAAAAAAACGATTTGGAGCCAATTTAGTTAAAAAAGTTCGTAAAGCAGGATCCGAACTCTTGAATATAAATAGACAATCGTGGACTGAAGATTCTAAGCCATCAGATTCTAAAATTTATGAATCTGAATCTGGAGGAAATGATTCTGATATTAGTATAGATGAAAGTCAAGGTAAATATAATTTACACAGAATGTTATTGATATTTGTTTTAATATAAAAAGATTTTAAAATATTTCAATGATTTTTATAGATCAATCCAGATTAGAAAATGAACCTTTATCCCTAGGACATCCAGGAACAAGAAGAACCGTTTACTATACTGATGATTTTCCATCAACAACATCGTCTTTACCGGTAAATTCATTATTAAAATAATCATTTTATTCGATATTAAATATATATATCCATTTTTTTAATGTAATTGATGAATTTTTTTTTATACAGCAAGATCAAAAGATTGCCGATTCCTTGCCTCAAACATCCGCTGATGATAGTCAATCAAGTCATCAAGATCAGCCAAGAAATGAAGTTAAAAGTGAAGCTAGACCTTTTTTAATATATAATAAAGTTTCCGCTGTTATAAATGATACAAAAACTACCAATACTCCAGTTCAAGAGACAACGCACAATAATGACATTGGTGAGTCGCTTCCGACAAAAGATTCTAAAGTTGGTAATTCCATATGGTATGAATACGGATGCGTATAAAGCTTTTCAGTATGTAGTAGATTAACTAAGTATTTAATTATTTAGTTATAATTAATTAAAAGATAACAAAACAGCTACTGGTTAACTTCATTAATAATACCAATTAATTATATTCAAGTTTCGAAGAGAAAAATGCTTGTACGCATCTTATTAATGAATCCTTCCGTATCATTAATAATTTTTATTTTGTTTATTCATGATATACAATGTGAAAATTGTATTATTTTATAACGTTTATAATAATTTTTTAAGTACGTAATTATTGAGAAAGAAAAATTTAAGAATTAAATATGATTATTTCAACATACATCTGTACAGTAAAATTTTAATTTTTTATATTTTTTTTTGTATAAATAATGAATATTATTAATAATAATCAATAAATGATGAAAAAAAGTTATGAAAAATAATTATTTTTATTAAATAGACGCGTGTTTACAGCTTAAATGTTTAACAATAAAAAAGTATTATTTGTATTAAAGATTTGCAACTCATAGTTTTTAAGTTTATAACTTTTATATGCACAATAGCGTTAAGTATTTTATAAATGTTAAAATTTTTATTAAAATTAAAAGAAAAAAAAAGAATGAAAATAAATTTCATGTTGTAATTATCAATATACATGTATATTATTTTTTGTTAATTCTTCATTAATTCTTCAGCTTCAGGTCGAATAGTTTCCTTGCGGATTCTGAGTGAATATTCCCAGGCAAAAGGGCTGATGTTTTTTGTCGTTCTATTCGCAGACTGGAAAGACCGTGATAAAAAAAAACCTATCCACCTTCAGTCTCTCTTCTCTTGTCCCTTCTTAAATTCTCAGACCTCTTAAAAATTTGCATACCCATCCTACTCACATTTTAACTCTTTCCAATTGCTATTTTTTGTCATTTTTTGCGTAACGACCCTATAATAGCTAATCATTTTCGTGTGAACGCATAAAAATGATGGATCAACTTTGTATACATCTAAGTATCCTTGATTTTTTTTTTCTATTCCATTACATCTATTTACCCAAATTAATGATATATAGTATTAATAAATAGGCAAAATAATGAGAAACGTTAAAAGAAGTAAACAAAAAAAAATAATAACAAATAAATAAAAATAGTAATGGTCTAACGAAAATTCTCTTTTCATGTTTTCATTCGAAAAACAAAAAATTATCAAGTTTTTTTTGACTGATAATTCTTATTGCCCCTCACAGGTCTTCCACCCCTCAAAAAGAAAAAGAAGTTGAGCGAGGTTACCGTAAAAATAAGATTGATAAAAGCACAAGGGGAGAGAGTGGATGGCAGAGCTTCCGTAGCTAGAAGAAAGTTTATAGCAAAAAAATTGGGTTGAACTCAGGGGTGAGACGAAGTAGGTGAAAGAAGCAAGAAAACATCGACGGGATACAGAGAAAAGCATCCATAGAGCAGTGGGAAAAGAGTTTAATGCTAAAAAGAGGGAGAGAGTCTCGGGGAGGCTGCTGCAAAAATGACGGCGCAACCCCTCGCCGATGGCGATGCTTAAAGGGGTCGAACAATTCCGTGGACTCCAGAATGAGGGGTGGGGCGGCCGCAAAAGAAGGGAGGCCACTTTTTACAAATCCATTCTCCTCTGCCCCTCCAGCTCCAGTCATTCCGTCTGAAATCTAGGGTGGGGGTTTCTTTTTACATCGGACTCCAGGGTGGAGCGAGTCAGGGAAACATAGCTGTTTGGTGCTCTCTCTCTCTTTTGCTCTTGGCTTAGCTCACCATGAGGAGTCAGTGGCGTCCTCAAAGTGACGTAAGGGGAGGGATTTAACGCGGGGTAGCCAGCCAGCTATGAGGAGGGGCAAACGAGCAGGAGAAAGACAGAATTGCCGTCCGAGTGCCGGTGGGCTCTCGCGGTTTGCTTTACCCGACAAACAATGTGTAGCACGCTATCGTTCGGATTGCCTCGTTGCCACCGTCAGCCAAATCAAAGACAACTTGAACGACATAATCGACAACAATCGAAACATCTTGAAAGACTAAAGATTCTATTTGTGCGCGCTACATCCACTTCATCATTTAATATTTAATCTATTTTTTTTTTTATTCAATTGTTTTTAGATTTTTATTTTTTTTTTTAATTATTCCAGTCACGTGCAATTTTATTTTTATTTTTAATGCACTTTTTTTTTTTTTTCAATTTGTGTTTTTCTTATTTATTTATTTTTCGTCTTTACTAATTGAATTTATTTATTATTCTTTTGATTATTTTGGTTTTTTATTTTCCCTTTGGCCGTTTGTCTGTGCGTGATTTAGTGTGATATTTGCTTGTTTGATTGACAAAAATTTGCGTTCGAATGTGCATAGAGGGTGGATGGGATTTAGTATCTTGTGCTTGCACGAGAGTAGGTGAGTAGCAAGTGAGAAATGGAAACACGAGTGTGCGCTACCGGTAGCGTCTCAGGTACTGAAGGATCAACGAGAGGCGTCGCGACGCCCTCACCTGTACCACCACTACCACCACCGACAACAACAATAACAATAACATCAACAACAACAACAACATCATCATCATCATTATCATCAACAACTCCTTCAATATCTTGTGTGGGAAGCGTCGGGATAGCCGCAGTTGCAGCCGCAGCAGCATTAAGTTCCGGTTCCATGAGCCAAAGTCCTGTAGTTGTGCTTCCAAGTCCACCAACAGTTGCCACAACACATCCACCAACACTTCCGAAAATTCTAAGTCGAAATGCCAATGGAACACGTGAGTTTCTTTTATTATTATTAAATGAATGGGAGATAAGTATGATTGGGTATTAAGTAAGAATGTTTTGAAGATGAGGATGATGCTATTTTAAAGAAAGAAATGAGTGTGGTGAGTGAAATAAATTTATCGAGTCTTGATAGGACACAAAAGAGTGTCTTTAATGACCATTATTTGTTGTTGATTTACTCCGAGTAATTTACTTGTCACTGAAACCATGAGGAGAGAAGTCAGTAAGCCACCAAACGACTCAACATTCACATTAACCGTTTAAAATATTTTTCTTGTTTTCAACCTCCTCTCTACGATCATCGTCTCTTGTTTACTGTTGCCGTGGAACAAGTCACCTTAGAGAAAAACTGGCTCCATAAATTTTCGGGAAAAGAAGACAAGAGCAGGTCGACATTATAAAACCTCGATAGCTTATTCGAGTTAATCGTCTGCTATAAAGGTGAAGAAGAGAGAAAGACTTGGATTCAAATAAAATAACTTGTTCGTATATTTGCTTTCAACTCATCTCTTAACATTTATTCGTTTTTATCATTGAGAAATATGAGTCACCCTCTTCTTTATCCTTATTCTTTTTCTTCTGACTACTACTCTAAAGAACGTGTAAAAACCATAACGGCTTCGCAAAAACCTTCGTTTTTCGTAGAGTATCCAGCTCACGGCTATTGCGAGATCACTTTTTGCTACATTATTTCGACGACATCACAGAGTTGTGACGCACAGTAAGCCAGTATCGTACGATACAAAAAAATAACACAAAAAAATTGCTAATAAAAAAAAAACAAACCCAATTGCTTTGCTCCTCGAAAGTTCTAGACATCCGATTTTTTTTCATATCCGTACGAAATAAAAAAATTCACACTTTAATGAACCGCGAAACTTTTTCTTTTATTTCGAAATAAATTTTCAAGAATTATATAGTTTATGATTATTTTCAGTTATTTTTGTCTGCATTAATTAATATTTTTGTAAAATGAAAGAAAAAAAAAACCATTACGAACATCCTTTATTTTTGTTAATGAAGAGAAAATACTTTTATTAAAATTACTATTCTTTCGAGAACGTTCGATAATTAAAAAATTGAATATTAATGTATTAGTATATCATGAATTAAAATTATGTCTTAAAGTTCATTCCATTAATTTTACAACACTATTCTGATCTTAAAATTGATTATAATTTAATTTAAATTGATTGATTATGAAATGAAACTTTGCCAATTGAAACACTTTTTATTTTATTAGTGAAAGTAAATCGTCTTTTAACATACGCACTATGGCGAACATAGTTTATAAATAATTTACATTTAATTAAATTTTATTATAAAGAATAAATATTTATAAATAATAAATAAACTTTGATTTAATAATTTTATTAAATTTAAAAAAAAATTTTTATTTTATTTAAAAAAAAAAAAAGATCCTCGGTCCTTTGAAATAAAATGAATATTTTTTAATAAATAAATGCACTAGCTTTCTGCATGTTGATTAATTAGTCTTTCATTACTTTTAAAAACATAAAAAGATTAAAAAAAGACTTAAGGTTAAAATTATTATTGATTATTTATTTTTTTAGCAACAGTGCAATAAAACTTGATTATTTTTTGACAAAATATTCATTATAAATACATTTACACTATATAATTTTTTTGATAAAAATTTAAAGGAGTCTTTATGAATGATTATTAAAAAAGCTAGTGTTGCAGTGAATTATTTTAAGTTCAAATGAAAAGAAGAGTGAACTTTGATTTCAAATAATTTCAATTTTAAACGATTAATTGATTATTATTTTATTAAAACCAGCGTTTTATTTTCTAACAATCTTTAAATTTAATGTTTAAAAAAAAATCTTAAGAAAAAATTAATCTTAATCGAAATACCTTAAATAAACTTACTATTCTAATTATTTAATTTTACAATGCATTGATTTAAATAACTCATTAATTAATTAATTAATTAATTAATTAATAGAAAATGCATTAAAAATGAATTTTAAAATTAAACTGCAAGAAAAAAAACGTTAAAAGAATTGAAACTTCTTAAATTATAAACATCAGATTCGTCAATGCAGCTGCGTCTATTAAAATCTTGAGCATTTAAGATTTGAATACATTTTTCTCTTTCATCATAGCGGTTTCGTTCTTACACTCTTCACGTTCGTATGTACTCTAAGCAAACGACGATAAATTTGAATGCTGATCATCTCTAAATATATAATCTAAATACGATCAAAAATTTATTTCACCGGTGGGTGGTTGCTTTCAAATGAATTGAACCAAAGGGTCAGATGTCTTTATAATAGAATAAATGATGTCATCATTCATTTTTTATTTACCAATATTATTATTTTATTATTATCCTTACAAAACTCAACTCTTCATCCAATTTACAGTTTTTTGGCGGAATAATTATTTAAAAAAAAAACCAAAAAAAAAATCGTCATGGTTTAGTGAAAATTATAATGATTTTATCCGGTCGTTAATATTTTTACCTGCATTATATTACCACTGTATTTTAATATATTTTCATTTTTATCGGAAGTATATTCAAAGTTTATCGTGCTTCTAACTTAATATTTACTGTGTATCATAAAAATTTTAACTACTTAATTTTTTTTTACATCAGTTAAAAACGTAAGTTAAAGATGATGTAAAAGCTTCGGTTTAATATTTTTATCACTTGGCGTAAAGCTCTGTGAAAGGAGTAAAAAGAAAACAAAAAAAAAAACAACAGTGAGCATAAAAGCAACGGATAGTTATTATATAAAATAGAGACAAAAAATATACATATTTAACTATAAGAACGTAACAAAAAAAGCTTTGTGAAATTCTTATTTTGCAAAAATTATTTCAGTGCATGAAAGTAATTTTTTATAATAGTTTTATATATAGTGACACGTAAAATCGATCTGGGAACAACGGGTTTCCCACGTCTCTTGGTGCATAAATTAATTTTTTCTACTTTTTATAGGTTTTTGTCGTGTTTTTAAACTTTTAGAAGAATATTAATATATTACGTATTAAATGATTATTTTAATATTTAGTAATTCAATTTTTATTGCAAACTTAAAGTAACATTTATTTAACCACTTCTAAAATTCATAATTTTTTTTATTTATTTAATTGATATTTTTATTAATATTACTATGACTAATAAAATAATGTAATTTTATTATTTAATTCAATACTCAATAGAATATGATTCAGTAATAATATTTTTATTTGATAACAAAAAATACTTTGTCACGAGGATAATAATAATAAAATGAAAGCCTGAGAAAAGCGACATACGGGTCGTCTTTTTAACAATTCTTTTGTTTAATTTTTTTTAAATTCGATTCTTTGGTTTTTTTTTTCTAAATTCCCTAGAAATAAGGGAGATGAGATGATGATATTTATATACAGATGCGTTAAATAATAAGAAAGGGTTCTTTACGGAGAGTGAGAGTGAGAGAGAAAAAAAGTAGGGTCGGCGTTTACACACGCGAGGGTTGTTCAAGATAGGGAGAACTTTATAACAGGTAGAGTAGACTACGCGCGGGCGCTCTGATGCATCGTCCTAGTGGATTATGATCCTTTAGAACAAATAAAAAATATAGTGAAAAAATTTTACCCTTTCTCTATATGTATATCATCTTAAGAATGAGACTAGAGAGATGATTTTTTTAATTATACAACACACATTGTGGGAACGTTTTTGCGCAATGGCGTTACAATTTTTTACAATGAGAAAGATGTAAAAAATAACAGTGTTTTTTTTTTTAGTTATAATGAAAAATATTAATAAATATTCGGTGTGTGCAAAAATTCTACCCGTTTCTCGAATATTGGGCTTAAAAAAATATATTTCGCATAAATAAATTACGCAATATTTCGCAATAGTACACTGAGAAAAAAATTTCGTTAAATGACAGAATTTTTTATTCAATCAATAAAAGAAACTTCGAATATTCTCAAGATAATATTTTATTCAGACTAATAGTAGTGTTATCAAAAACACATTTTGTCTTTTGTTTCAATGTTGCGACGAGAATGAAAACAAATGACATTTCATTCATTTGAGTAAATAAAATGATTTCAATCAAATATTTATAATTTCGAAGAAATATTTTATTGCGACTATTTGAAATTTCGATATTAATGATCGAATGAAATATTTTTTGTATGAAGTAAATTTTTTTCTCAGTGTATTCTAGATAACGCAAGCTTTTAATAGCTCATGCCTACATAATTTTTATTTATACGTAATTGCAAAATAATTTTTTTTCTATTCTCGAAAAACGGGTAAAACTTTTGCACACACCTAATAGTTACATCTGATTTATCTTACCATGTAAATAGATAATAATAATATTTTAAAGTACACTGTAAATCCAAAGTATGTTACAGTAAACATATCTACATGTGTTGAATATTAAACTCCGTAAACAAACTATAGATTTTAACACACTTTGAAGTGTGTTAACAATGACTACAAGGCTCTATAGTTTGTTTATAGCAATTTAATATTGAACACACTTAAGGTGTAATATTTTAACACACCTTCAGATTTACAGTGTAAGAAGAAATAATAACTTGGAAATTAATTGTAAAGTAATTAAAACGTTTATTATATTGATAGAAAAATACATAGATGGAGACATGTGAGGAGTGTCTGTGTGCAATTTTTGTTATTTTTTAAATTAGCTGTATGCGTAATTTGAAAAGTAATTTTCATTGTATTTTGAAGTATTTTTCCCTGAAACAGTGTTTTTAAAAATACGACTTTTTGAAGTGGCAACGACGATATTTATTTTACACTTTTCCCAGTCTTCTAAAATTGCCTCCTGGCAATTCTTAAAAGTTGAGTAAAATATTAAATTAGGCTGAAATAAAAGAAACATTAAAAATCTAAAATAAAATATTTAAATAACATTTATTTTATAATATTATTTACTTACTTATTATCTTCATAAAAATAAAAATGAAGCTGTAAAGTATCAGAACTAATGTACGACTGTTACATGAATCAATGTAATCGTTTAGGATGAAATCAATGATACGTATGTCGAATATAATACTTGTCGTACCAGTTTCGACGGTCGTGAGATTTCTCCTTTGAAGCTTAAATGTATAGCATCAGATCGAACCATCTACTGCATTTATCATTTGTATTTGACATTGACTGACTTCTACCAATCGCATCTAATCCTTTTTTGCAGACTAAGGTGCAACAAATCAGAACATCCTGTCATCTGTTGTATTATCTCTACAGTTTGAAAGATTGATACATCTTCTGTCTGTATTTGCTTCAACATTTCAAATATTTATACATCTCTTAAATTTAAATTCAAAAATATATCATTTAGTTGAATTTAATTTTTTTCTTTTTCATCTCATTATATAAATTATTAAATAAAAAAAAAAAAACAAAAAACATTTAACCCCCTTACAAGTAGATAATCTTTTCCGCCATTTTTTCGCATAGATAGTGGGGCGGTCGAATGATTAAAATACTTTTAGAAGAATAAAACTAGGGGTAACATATTTAAGGGTAAAAATGGGCCGTACTAACGGAGTCCTACCCATAAAACAGTTAAATAAAAAGTTTTATCTATTTTACTTTTGCCAATATAAAAATGATTTTTTTTTCCTTTAAATACATTAAAAGTATCAAGGACAAGTGTGTGTGTGTTTGATGACGTTTGCAATCCAAAAGAATAGTGCAGAAGCAGAGAGGGATGGAATTTGTGGCAAAAAGTGTGGAGGATAGGCGAGTAGGTCGTGGCTAGATGTATATATATATATATGTATAGTTGTATAGGCACATAAAGACGAGGGGTAGTAGAGGTATCGTTGGGGTGAGTGCGGGGGGAAGAATATAGTAGCCACGGACTGAGTCCATCTGCCCGGTGTGTTTTGTCCGGGCGGGCGAGGTACCAGGCAAAAACTCACCTAACCCTTCCTTGATTACAATAGCCGCAAAAAGCGAAATACTAACCGCCGCCGCCGCCGCCGCGCGCGAACGGCCGCTGCTAAGAAACTAGACCCGTTTTTACGTAGAGAAGAGCGCCCGCGTCCGTGAAGTATTGGACAAAAGAACATTACCTCACTTGCTCTCTTCTCTTTTTTTTTATCCTTCTTCTTCTTCTTCTTCTTCTTCTTCTATTTCTTAGCTCACGTCTTTTCTTCCTTCAGATTCAGATTCTAAGTCCAAGGATCCTCCATGTCTTTACTCCCTTTAACCAACTTTTTTAGTAACATCATGTCTTGCCACCGGAAATTGCCAATGAATCCACATAAGATCACTATACATTTAGTGTTAGTGGCTCTTTTCATTAGAACCGTTTTGTTTTCACTCGAGAGAATGATTCAATTAGTATATGGACGCGTCTAATTAGACAACAATTCGAAGTCCTACGGTCTTTCAAGCCACTTTCGATTGAGTTGAACGAAGAAGGGGACGACGACGATGCTTGAAAAGAGAATTTCCGCGTTAGTCATAACTACTTGTCACTTCTATTCAGTTAATAAAATGACAATTCTTATATTAAAAGTTACCTTGAAATACTTGATTGTCTATAGAAAAGTATAATATTTCTATTAAAAATATTCTTTTTATGTCATTCCTTCATTTTTATCCTTAGCTTCTTTAAAGAGATATACTAGTTATTATATAGTACAAGACGAGATTCTCAGAGCAATCACATTATAAAATTTTTCCTTCTTCATTTCTTTATCTTCCCCCTCTGTACACTCATGACATCGTGTATGTCTGAAAGAACGTATCACAAACGCTTTGACTCGCATCACATTCTCCTCTTTATACTAAAAACCATCCATCGTGCTAAAAAAGTCGTTATGTAAATGATAACTAGCGAATGGACGGTCAGGTACACATGGTAAATTTGCGCGGGAACAGCTCGAAAAAAGTCATCAACAAAAAGATAGTGGGAATATTGTTCGTCAATTATATTATATAAAAGCATACGTTAAATTCTTCAGTGAATTCCAATCATCTTATAACAACTCTCCGTACATCAAGCTATCTAATTCATTAAATATTTATTTTATTAATTAATTAAACCATTTCATTCCTCAATCTTGAACTCATTTTTGTAAGTTTTTACAAAATACATCAAAGATATTACAATAAAATAATTTTTTCATATTTATTATTACAATTATTATTATTATTATTTTAATATAAAATTTATTAATAATGATGAAGAATAAATTTTATTATACAAAAATAATGTTTTTGTTTAAAAATAAAGAGTCAAAAAAAATAATAATAATAATAATAAAATGCATGAGTTAATCAATATTTAATTAATCAAGAGATAAAGCCAAATGAAAGAAGAGCAAACGATTGTTCTCGATAATCACGATAGCATAAAAATGTTGTGAGACGAGTTACCCTCTTTCGGTGGGCGAAAAGGAGAATGAAGGAGACGCACGTAAGCGTGAGACCGGCCGAGCTCGTAATAAGACCGTCGGCCAGTTTTTTTCATGTTCTCTTCCCCTACTCACCGTGTGCCCCTTCGCCAGTATTAATTTATACGCGCTACGTGTGTGCACGCGGGAGATGGCTGAGTGCTGCTTTTTCTCGCAGTTCCTCGAAATTTGCAAGAAACTAGTTGGACACCCCGAAGAACAGCCAGTACGATGCACTCCGCTTATACTCTTGCCTGAGGATGCCGCTTGACTGCTGGTGTTCTCAAGAATCACGAGTCTACCAAGAGGAAGCTCTTGTTATTGTATGGAGAGGGAAAAAGGGTTGCCGGTGGGAGTTAGAAGACACCACCATGTAGTCTTGTAGGTTTTATACTCATTGGCATCAATGTCATGATTATCTATTTTTTTTTTTTTTCCTTTTCTTCCTTAATAAAATCAAATCAACTTTTTCCTTGGTATAATATTAATTTAAAATTTTTTTCTCTTTTATATTCAACAGTTGTCCAAACTTCAGTACCACAAAATGAAGCCGAATTGCAGCTTTACAGGGTAATGCAACGTGCTTCACTTTTAGGATATTATGATACACTTTTAGAAATGGGTAAGTAGAAAAATTTATTTATTATTAACTGATCTTAAATAAAACATATACAAAATTCAATTAATGTTTCAATTTAACAAAGAAAAATAAAATACTATCAATATTACCTAATAATTTTTATTATTATTAATTAAACTAATTATGAAATGTATTTACACATTTAAACAGGCGGGGATGATGTCCAACAACTCTGTGATGCTGGTGAAGAAGAGTTTTTAGAGATTATGGCGCTAGTTGGTATGGCAAGTAAACCTTTACATGTAAGACGTCTCCAAAAGGCTCTCCAAGAGTGGATCACTAATCCGTGTATGTAAATAAAATATAATTATTTTAGCGTATAATTAAGAAAAATATTTCAACATTTATATAAGTAATTGATTAAAATATAAATAAATAAATGAATAAATTATATAATGAAATATTTATAATTGTACAGCTTTGTTTCAAACACCTGTAGTGCCAACAAACGCCACAACCTGTAAGAACTCAACTACGGTAACATTTGCAGCCGCAAGTCCAAGAACTCATCAATCAACTCCGAATCTTTTCCCTTCAGTATTACACAATACTAGCCCTACAACACCATTTTCTACCACCCACGTATCATTAACTCCCTTATCTTGTAGAAGTGTAAGCCCCATAGCTCCAGTAACAAATGTTATTGCACCAGCTGCAACTTCTAGTTTTCGACAAAGTCCAAGTCCCAATACTCCAATAACCTATTCTACTTCTCATAGTCCGGGAATTCTTCAGGTAAGATCAAATTAATTAAAATCTTATTGAATAAACATTAATATATAATAATTCTAATGACAGGTTGGCACTTGTGAATCTTCTTGTGGAAGTGGAACTACACCGAGTCCTAGTGGTGGTGGTGGTGCTCCTTCAAGTCCAACACAAACAACTCCTACTCTTCTTTCATCGCAGGTGCAGCGACTTGCAGAAGCAGCTGAACGTCTTGCTTGCAATCTTCGACCATTGGATCCAAAGCCTCATAATGTTAAGAAGAAAATTTGCAAGAACCTCGAGGTGAAGTTGTCGCATCTTCTTTTAGTCTATGCGTCGTATTTTCACGTTAACTTCTTGTTAATCTACTGAGCATCATTCTCATCTTGGGAGTCTCGTTCATAATTTTTTTCAGATTTACCAGACGTAAATGCCACTCAATACCTTGTCGTCTTTTCTATGTCTCAAACGACATACTTGTGTATAAGCCTTTTCAATCTTTTTTTTTTTTCTTTCATCCTTTATCGTCTGATGATTCTGTGTACCCGTCGTGCTTTCTTCTTCTTGTACATCAGCACTTTTTCATCATCACGTCGTTCAATCGTTCTACATGTAAGTCGGTACGTCAAGTTTTTTTCCTTGTTCAAGCAGATGGTGATGGCTATGCCGGACACCGACCCAAGAAGAATGGAAGAAATCAGAAAATATGCGGCGATTTATGGCAGATTTGATTGTAAGAGAAAGCCAGAGAAACCATTAACACTTCATGAAGTATCTGTCAATGAAGCTGCTGCACAGATATGTCGATTTGTTCCTGCCTTACTAACACGAAGAGACGAGTTATTTCCATTAGCTCGTCGTGTTGTTCGAGACTCGGGCTATCATTACTCCAAAAGTCAATTGTAAATATTTATTTAACATTTATTAAATAATATTTTTATCATTAAGTTAATTAACATTTTAAATTTTAGCTTGTCAATGACAAAGCCACGAGGTGAGAACGGTGATGATGGAGAGGAAAAAACAAAACGTCAACATTTGGATCAGGAGGCTGAGGGTGAGGACACATCCCAGGTTAGCACGCCACGTCCACAGAAATAAATACGTATCTTCGATCTAAGGATTTAGCGCAATAAATGCGCTTACGCATGGATTAACACAATTGTACCCGCGTACTAATTAACACTACATCTGGCACGTAGAAAACATCTTTATTCATCATTCACACTTGTTAAACATTCGGAAAAAAGGTCAAGTATAGCAATCTAACACTGCGTGACTGGTTCGACCGTTTGTTTGCTTTGAAGAGCTTGCAGAAAGCTTGGAGTTTTGGGAGTTTTCGGTTTGTATTAATCATTAGAGCATGCGTCAAATCATCTCATTAATTTATAATCTTATCCCTTCTGTAGAATTTATGGTATAAATAATCATGTGTATAATTATAATAGATACATGAATTTGGTATAATCGACACAATTTAAAAGGCAATATCAATAAATACAAGCAAAATGGAATATAAATGAATTTTATAAAAAAAAAAAATTTTTTTTCATTAATTATATTTTATAATTAAAAAATGAAACCTTTATAAACGCGATTTTAGATTAAATTTGCCATATATATGTTTTTCTACGTTATAGACTTACCTATAGATAATCCTTCAATATTCCATTTTGCATCAAACTATTCTACTCTGAATGTTAACTTTCCAATGTTTATTTACTATTTTGCTTATCGGACATTTTTCGAATGCTTATTATTGGATGGATTATCGGGGCTTTGTACTGTCTGTAGCAGTCCGCTGTTCCAGGCCGAGTTGGATCTACGCTGTACTGGGACGGATATCAACAATATCCTAAGAAGACATGGATCATCAAGGTGACTATTTAGTAAATATAACTAAATATGTGTTGTATATGAATTAATTGGAAAACACGTATTCTTCACACAATAACTATGTTTCAGTCCAGTCTGGAGGAAGAAGAGTAACAACGGAGTATTTGCAACAAATATCGAGGAAGTCAGCGATACAGATAGTCAATTTTCATTTTCTAATGAAGAATCTTCGTCTTTACATGTAATTATATTTTTATTTATAATTAATACATTTAATGAAACAAGAAAATATCTTTGTAGTCATAATAATCATTTTTGTTTTTTGATACAGGATGTAAATGAACTAGAAGCTGACAATACGGACAAAGAAAGTGATTTTAATTTGAAAGTAAGTTTTTAATTTTAATTGTTTGAATATTTTAATATTTATCATCAAGTTGATTTTTATTCTTTATAGAGTTATTGATAATAATAATGAATAAATTTTTATAAAACTAGAAAATTGATTATTTTTAACTATAATAAGATGGTGATATTAAAAAATGTCAATGGATAATACATTTTTTTTTTTTAGGTAATTGCTTCACGAGGAGATAATATAATTGCAGTTGCAAATCCTGCATTAATGGAATGTAATCATCCAACAATAAAAAAAGAACCTGAGGACGAAAAGTCAACATTGTGATATTACTTAATAAAAATTGTTAAATGACATACAATTAGCTAAATCTTCATCTTTTTAATATAAGATAATATTTTTGTTTTAATAACAGCCATTGAAATAAGACTATTTTGTAGCATTATCATATATTGGACGAAATGTGCTGGCCAATCTGGATGATTGCCCTTTTTAGCGTTATTATTTTAGTTGTAACAACAATAGCCATTGTGGAATATTGGTATCTGCGTAAACATTTAGATTATCGTCATCATTAATTTATAAATTCATGTTATATTTTTATTAATAATTGATTAAAAAAAAATATATAGGGAAAAGCAATATGTATATACAATATTTTTTACTTATATATCATACTTATTTGTTATTCTTTAGTTGAAATTATCGATAAATAGTCTTCCAAAGAATTGATAATGATTAATCATTTATTGAAAATTATTTGGCTAATCATTTTTTGAATATTCATTCTCTTGATTGTTCCGAAAAATAAACTTGTTGATACTCTTAACAAATATTTAATTACTTAAACTTCCTATTTTTCTATTATTGACAATAAATTAATTCATGGAAATAAATTAATATATTAAATACTACATAAAAAAAAACTAGTTCATACCAACGATTGCACAATGGAAAAAGAGCACATAGAATTTCCTTGAAAATTCCATTCATTATATTTTCTATTTTTATTTTATTAACAACTGTAATAATTTTATAATTATAAGTCTTTATTATTTAATTATAATTAATTCATCATCATTGAAATAGTTCAGTTTCACACTTCATATAAAATAATTGTAAAATGAGTCATTACTCATATAAACTATCTAATAGTTAATATCTCCATTATATCATGATCTTTACCCTATTCTAAAAGTATAAAAACTGTTTTATAATTTTTCTATAAAATGCATCTATTCCGATATTGGATTATAGTATTTATCATTTATCAATATAAATTGGACCAGGTGAGCAAAATTCTAAAGATCTCATAATACCTAATACTTGAAGGTTTTGTTTTAAATAATATTCAATCAAATGTTATGTTATTGAAAATATAAAGGCAAGTACTGCCTTTGTTGCTCATAATCTCTCATGTCCTGTCACCAATCGAAGATATTTAAGAGATGTCTCAGTTTATTTACATGCTGATAAGGCATCGAATGAATTTTTTGCGAATTTTACTATAATAAGATCTTTTCCAGATGATTCGACAGTAAGTATTTTATTATTTTTGGTGTTAATTAAATATGTAATATAAATATACTTTTTGAGGGCCACATGAGAGTAATGAAACGATCATTTAGAGGTGAATATGATGAACCCACTCACATGAAATTTTCTCAACGATTTTGTGACAGCTTTTTGAGGCCTACTAATCCGTATTGGTCTACATTTTATAAACGTTTTTTTAAAGAATGTCCAGCTTTACCTGTAAGTAATGTAAATTATAAAATTAATTTATATGTACTTTAGTATCAATAATTATTTTATTTGTGTACTAAAGATATTATTATTATTTTTAACTGCCTATTAGGAAGTCTTTGTAATGAGGCTGATTTTTGAAATTTGTAATAATAAATTAGTTGTAAAATAAATCAATTAAAAGCATATTGAAAATTAATTTTGCTTATTATATTGTTGATCAAAATTGTGAAATATTGATAAAATATTGTAATTGATGATTTTATATAACCTAAAATACTTACATATTGTTGCTAATAATTCTTATTTTGTTATGAACACTTGAAAAAAATAAAAAAATATGACTAAATGATGAACTTCAATGGAAGAATAAAGTAAAGATGAGATTTTTATAAAATTAATAGATAATTGTAAACAATCGATGGGAATGAAAAGTTTGTCAAGTGGGCATGAAGTATACCCAGTCCAATTTTTTTTAAATCTACTCATTATTCAATTTTTAATTTTTAGGGAGTCTACGGAATTGGACGTGTTGCTTTAGTAGATCGTGACAGTCAAAATTTATTCCAAAATGCACTTCAATATGGGAGATATTTGATTATATTTTACCTGACAGCTCAATCTCGAGTAATCTATTATTG